TTTGTTTGTTGTGTAAGATGTAATTTTATTTCATCTCGTGAACTTTAAAACAGTATTCTCACTCGTGACTACGCCACTCGTGAGAATACTGTTTTTAAAGCCCACTCGATGAAATAAAATTTCATCTTACACGCAAACAAACAAATATCCTCTATCTAATTTATTCGTAAATGAATTCGAAATCGATATAATAAATAAATAAATATCGCATCTTGATTCAAGACTTGTAAGGGTATGATTACATTGTAGAATTCACATGCTGATGAAAATGAGAATAAAGGTAATCGTAAAAAGTCCGTTAAAATGGGCGAGGCTTATTTTTGATATCAGGTTACTGACCTGATATAAAAAAGTATTATCGGGCAGTTACCATAGCAGTTGCATGATAAATAACAAAGTCTGTTCATTGCGTTGACAACCATATAGCAAATTCTGTTAACTGAGTTGACAGCCATACATAGAGGATATTGAATGAGTGTAAGTTCAACACTGAATTTATTGCACGAGTTGAATAAAATTATATTATGCGAGCCTCTGGCGAGCATAATATAGAGGATATTTGTTTGTTTTGCATGTAAGATTGAAATATATTTCACTGAGTGAAAACCAGATGCAAAATTTTCACGAGTGGCGTAGCCACGAGTGAAAATATAATAGCTGGTGTTCACGAATGAAATATATTTCAATCTTATATGTTAAACAAATAAATTTTCTTTTTATTTCATGCTTTTTGAGGGATTTTAAGTAGATCTATTTGTTACTGATTTTTCCGCGTTACGTCGCGCATTCTCCTTTATGACGTCATCAATCATGACGTCACATCATTGATCAGTTTCGAAATATAGTTCTTAACTTTCTCTTATTTTGTTACATTTTTAACATGATGTATAATGACACCGACTTTCTTTTCCTAAAGAAGCAACATTTACGTATGACGGCATTTATTTTTGTCTGTTATTACATTTAGTTATGATATTCTTTTCATCCGCATTCAGATATAGTCCGGCTACATAGAAAATTGTATTTTATAAATTTCACTAGTGGTTTATCAGAATATATAATCATCTCTTATATTACAGTAAAACACTGGAAAGCATGAAATAAATTATTTTATTCAACGAGTTCAATAAATTCAGTGATGAACTTACACGAATTTAATATTCTATTTATCACGTAGAACAAGAGCCATGTCAACATGGCCATCCCCCGCCGAATGTGTTTGCTCATTGGTGGAATGTATATGTAGTAGAGCAAAATAATTCAATTTTAAGAGGTCTTTAGGTAATGAAAACTGATGGCTATAGATTACAGATTTGAAACCTATGTGAATACTGATGGCTGAATATAACAAAGGGCAATAACTGAAAAATAATGCAGGGTAGGTTATCATTCTTGTGTGCTGCACCCCTCCTCAGTAAAATCTATCCACCTATGAAGTTTCAAGTTGATACCCCAAATACTTTTTGAGAAAAAATTGAATTGAAAAATTAAGTATGAAAAATAACAAAGGGCAATAACTCAAAAATTATAAAAGGTAGAGTTATCATTCATTATTGTGCACTGCACACCTCCTGAGTTAGATCTATGCACCTATGAAGTTTCATGTTGATATCTCAAAGGCCTTTTGAGTTATGCTCTGGACAAAAACTAATTTTGAAAAATAACAAAGGGCAATAACTAAACAATTATGCAGGGTAGAGTTATCATTCTTGTGCACTGCACTCCTCCTCAATGAGATCCATCCAGCTATGAAGTTTCAAGTTGATACCTCAAATACTTTTTGAGATAAGCTCCGGACAAAATAGTATGAAAAAGAACAAAGGGCAATAACTCAAAAATTGTATATGGAAGAGTTATCATTCTTGCGCACAGCATTCCTCATCCACCTATGACATTTCATGTTGATATCTCAAACACTTTTTGAGTTATGCTCCACTCAGGTGAAAAATTAAGTATGAAAAATAACAAAGGGCAATAACTCAAAAATTATGACAGGTAGAGTTATCATTCGTGTGCACTGCACACCTCCTGAGTGAGATCTATGCACCTATGAAGTTTCATGTTGATATCTCAAAGGCTTTTTGAGTTATGCTCTGGACAAAAATAAATTTTGAAAAATAACAAAGGGCAATAACTAAAAAATTATGCAGGATAGAGTTATCATTCTTGTGCATTACACTCCTCCTCAATGAGGTCTATCCACCTATGAAGTTTCAAGTTGATAACTCAAATACTTTTTGAGATATGCTCCGGACAAATATGTCGGACGGAAGTTCTCACAGGACAGTAATTATGTGGCTACTCTATTGTTCTCTCTATTGTTCTTTTTAGCCACACAAAAGAAAATAGCCACATAAAAGCATTACGGAATGAATGACATCAAAGAGAAAGAACAGTACGTTACCTATTGTCCCTCTAGCCACATAATTACTCTCCTGTGAGTGCGGACGGACGGAAGGTCGGACGGACGGATGGACGGACGGAGACTATTACTATATATAAAAAGGCAGGCCTTAGCGCGAGCTCGATTTTCTTTTACCGTAAGATAGTTTAAAATAATCGTTCATTTTTATTTTACATTTTCCGTTTTAAAATTGTCATTCGGTATTTTATACACTGCTTCCGTTTATTCTGGTTCCTCCTTCTATTATGGTTCCTATATACGTGCGCGGGACACCAGTCTACGCTTCGTTTTCAATCAGAGTACATCGGCTTTTATCGTTATCTTGTAATTCGAAAAGTTGCGATGTGTCCAATTCGGTACTTCGGACGAAAGTTTTCAAAACCATCACTTAGCAGGTACTCGCGTTACCGTAAAGCTCGCTTTGCGAGCAGGCCCTTCGGACCAGCTCGTCGAGCTCGCTAATATGAAAAAGGCAAAGCCTCAAAGCGAGCTCAATTTTCTTTTACCGTAAGATATTTTAAAATAGTCTTTCAATTTTATTTTACATTTTCCGTTTAAAAATTGTCATTCGGTCTTTTATACACTGCTTCCGTTTATTCTGGTTCCTCCTTCTATTATGGTTCCTATATACGTGCGCGGGACACCAGTCTACGCTTCCGTTTTCGCTCAGAGTACATCAGCTTTTATCGTTATCTTGTAATTCGACAAGTTGCGATGTGTCCAATTCGGTACTTCAGACCCATCACTTAGCAGGTACTCGCGTTACCGTAAAGATCGCTTTGTTTACCTTCCTCCATATTGGATGGAAGCACCGTATCAAGGAAAATCTGCACCGTTTCCCGTACCCGACAGTGCAAATAGACATGTGAAATAATTTAGATATGACATTGACCTTCAAATGACCTTGACTGTTAAATGAATTTTTTTTTTTGTCATTTACTTATGGAAAGGATTCATACTTGGACAAAACAACAAGTGTGGCTAGATAGACCTGAGAGGTCAAGTGCCGTAGATCAGTAAAAATATACGGCACCTTGTTATCGGGCCGAAATTGATACAAGTGACAGGATAAATGTGGATATATTACCTGCCAAGATCAAATATCACTCTCGCCTGACGGCTCGGGTGATAAATAACTGTTGCAAAAGTGCCAAATTCAATGTTTGTATATGCAAATAAAAAAAAATTCTTCATGATACCAAATTAACAATCTTGAGCCACCGTAAAAGCAAACAAATAAATGATTTAAACAAATCTTTAAAAAGAAATTTAAAAGAAAAAAGAATAAAGTTTTTGCTTTTTTTTTAAATAATAGGTCTATCTAGCCACACTTGTTGTTTTGTCCAAGTATGAATCCTTTCCATAAGTAAATGACAAAAAAAAAAATGTGTACATATAAGGAAAATTAATGACTACCGAAGCGGGGCCAATGTTGACCCCTGGGGTTTTATTTGAACAAACATGGTAGACACCCGTTAGAAAATGTTTCATGCTTAATATCTCAGCTCTAGCACTAGTTTTTAAGAAGATTTTTAAGTTTTTACCATATACATAACTATAAGGAAAATCAATGACGCGCCTTGGCGGGGCCAATTTTGACCCAATGCCTTTTATTTGAACAAACTTAGCAGACACTCGCTAGAAGATGTATTATGTTTAATATCTAAGCTCCAGCTTTTTGGATGTTTTTTTTAAGAAGATTTTTAAAGTTATTAGGAAAATCAATGACCCCCAACCATAGGTCTGCAATGACGAACGACGGATGGATGTCCGACCGGCCGAAATAGGATAAGGGGCCATTTCTTTTGTTTAATAGAGGGTCATGTGCCCCTTACTCTACTATTATAGAATGAATTCTTATGTTCTCTTTTGTTCTGTTTACAGTTAGGTGGCCCCCTATACTTATTCGGTTATGCGTACAACCACCGGACGAAAAGCGATCACTATAGCTCACCTCGTAACTTTATGAAAAATGTGTCAAATGTTATTGGACGGCAATTGGAACGACAACCTGACTGTAGAAATAGCTCGAAATTTGTTTCAAAGCTTGAGCCAAAAACAATAATATAAACAATAAAAAAAAACAATACCATTCATAGGAGTGATACATTTTTTTTAATTAAAGGCAATGTGTGTTGACAATATGAAAGTGTCAACCCAACAGGCAAAATGAATCCTCAAAAAATCTCAAATACTAATATTGACATTTTTTTTCTTGATAACGGCAATTACAAAAAATATCAAGTAGATTGTTCTGAAAAGTTAATTAAAAGATTAGAGTCCTTAAATTGGTGGAGTTGGTGGGTTTCTACTTGACTCCTGGCTTACGTCTGCATCATCTTCAAATCCTCGTCTGTCCAACAGCTTTGGTGCTTTAGGTGTGCACAGGATATAAAAACAGTTTGAGTACCATCTACCCTGGCTGAATGGGTTAATATTATTAGCAAATGTGTCTTTTAACGATTCGTTCGTGGTTTCTTCTCGGCAAACAAGTCGTGTATGATAAACTACAAGACATAAAAGTCCGGTTAACAGTATTAGTAAGCAAAGGATTCCTTCAATTACACTGGGTATTGACTTCATAAAAGCTTCGTTGATTGGATATTCTTGTGCCCGGAAAGAGATAACTGCCACGTTACAACCAATCACATAACATGACAGCACGTTCGCTATAATTAACAAAATAAAGTAATGTTTATAATTTCTTTTTCCGATGCAATTGGAGAGAAATGGGCAGTGGTGATCAAACCTTTCCACACAATTATCACAGACACTGCAATGGGATGACCTGGGCGGTCTGTAGATCTTACACGTTCTGCAGTATTGCTGCTGGAATACTCTTCCTTTGATATCTGTTTCCGTGTAACGCGACCCGTTGTCGTCTGTTTTGTAGTTAATTTCTTCCTGTTTTTCAATATCGTAAGCGGTGGCTCGTGGTAAAATTCCGGGGTCAGTAAAAGCGGTCACGTTAAACAATACCAGCATAAGAAGAAAGATGGGCACCCCTAACGCTGGAACCACTGGGCTTACTCTTTTTGATAGATACACGCTGTCGAAGCTGAAAAACAGCCCTCCTAAAATTGAAACAATTAAAAATCTAATTATTAAAATATGAACAACAACGATGATATAGATTGATTTACGTTGAAAAATAAAATTTACATATGACAATTTGAAGTGAAAAACCCTGTCAGTCAAATGGAAATCTTTCTATAAAGTCACACCGGTCATTTATGCACATTTTTACTGCTAAATTTATGTTGTTATTTTGACAGTTTACTTGTTTCTCTCCTATTAAATAAAATTATGCATCTTATAGACTAGTACCATCAAACAGAGATTATACTACATAGCAGAAAGGGTACGTATGTTCCGAGAAGTAATGGTTAATTAAATCTGATAGGTTTTACAAAACAACAATAATACTGTCGAATATATATAGTGCATTTAATCACGATAAATAGTCGTTCAAAAACTAATTTGATGAAGCAAAAAGACGGATAGAAACCTTTAATTAAGTGAATTATTTTGTGGGAATGAATATCGTATTGATTTGAATTAATAGTTTAAAAGTAATGCCTTAATTGATGTGAGGTTTCACTGCCCATGTTAGCCATTTTGAAACTTGTTACCCTTCGTGTAGTCCACATACATATTACACGTACTATATATAGAGTTCCTTCAGTGATCACAGATGATAGTTAAATTTTAAAAAAAATCGATAATTAAGTAAATCACGGGACATCACAAGTTATAAACGCAATATAACCACTATAAATGAGAAAAATATCGGTCTCTGAGCTATTAAACACCGGTTGTTTGTTTTAATGTGTAGGAATTGACCACGAAGGCCGCAACCCGTACTATTATAATACAATAATACCTATGATCAAGATCAAGGCGAGAGTGATCAGGTATCCGGTGCTATCAGGTCCACGGATATATCTTCCTTTACAACAGAATTTATTCCCTCCGGGGAACACCTCCCATTTTCTCCGACGTTTCGTTTTACCTGTAAAATGTTAAGAGATTACTAAAATAGTAATTGGAAACCGTCATATTACTGTAAGTCGTACAATAAGTTATTTTATGAAAAACAGATTCATTTTCAGCGGTATTTAGAAGCACATATTAAAGGGACTCCACTCGTGACACGATTGGACTGGAAATTATTCGAGAATTATGTTCCCTTTGATGGAGATCAAACTCCAAATAGGAAAGTGACTCAAATCGAGATAGACAGTATAATATCATAAAATTAAATAGCATTTTCAATTTCTGTTTATGTTTCTTAATAATCAATTTGCATATCTTTCATTTTTAAGTGCCCTAGCTGGTCTGGTCAATGTAAGAATTTTTTATGTAATAAGCTTTTGGACCTAAGTTGGATTCCTTTAACTGAAATCCTAACAATATTTGTGAAAATTGAAATTCTTTAACTCATGTAACTTTCTGACGAATAACAGTCATAAAATACAGGTTTTATGAATAGATTACCATACCTTTCGAATTTGCTTTTCTTTGGAAATTGCTGGAGGTCTTGGTCTCGTCTAGAATTTGGACGGTAACTGGTTGGTCATCCTTGGATGTGACAATCCCTGGCCCAACTTGGTTATTAGAAGGCTTGCATTGGCATAAAGAAGACTTTAATTTGTCTTGGCTATGGGATGACTTTATCTCACCTTGGCCATGGACAGATTGCCCTGTCTCTCCTTGAGTTTTGGGAGACTTTGGCTCTTTAAAGTCTTCCATTCGTAATTCGAGTCATTTCTGTAACAGAAGAAAGAAAGATATACTGCAAGCTACTAGTATTGTAAAACAAAAATTAAAGTTACTTTAAATCGGAACAAGATATTAATAAGTCAGGAGAAAAAAGCAAACAAAATAAAGTTATCAAGTTAAAAAAATTGGAGGATTTGATATTCATTGTTTTGTCACAATGACCATTGGAATTACTCAAAGCACAATTAGGTTACAGCTCAGATAAAGTAATATTTAAACAATTGTATGCAATGATCTTCAAGATATTCAATAAGAGCTAGGGACTGGTTCCCGGATTCATTTTTATCTCATACCTTTCTCTGAAGTGACTAGTCTATAGTCATGTCTACGTCCCCGTGAGGGGTTTGACATTAATGATAGATATTTAGATAGAATGACCTTGATTTTAGAACTTGGTTCTGGCTTGCGGCATACAGCCATTTATAAAAAATCAGACATAAACAACCATTGTGATAATTAAAACAAGAACAACATTCATTTGTTGCAAATAATGTCATTAAATTTCTGTTTTAACTGAAAAAGTTAGGCTATTCATGCATATTTATTGCATATATCTTCTTCTTTATAGAATCAAATAAAGAAAATTAGCAGAATAACAATGAAAATTTGTCTCCATTCAAGAAAACAATTTATTAATATTTGTACGAAACAAAAACCCAGGGCAAAATCAGTAGTCCTGTAATCGTTGGATATAACTTATTGCTTGAACTGTTAACAAAGTATACTCGATAATACAATGCTTGACTGATGATAAATAAAGATGTACTTATCTAACTTCATGACCAATTTATCTCCGAATTCATCATCGAATTTATGGGACTGCATACAAGTAATTCTAGATATTTATATTACGAATAAAATAAAAATACTCACTGAGAATGTTTCCTTTGGTAGGGTTTTCAGAAGCTATACTGATTCTGATTGACGTAAACGACGTCTCTAAGTAACGACGTCATGCGTGACAAGGGACGTCACTCTTTAAAATTATTGCGTTGCAGGGGACGTAATTTTTGTTCTATACTGCAAAATAATATATGCATGAGGGCTAATTGCTAATAGATATTAAGCTTAACTTCGCCAAAATTGTTTCCTACTTATTTTCAGCGTGTGCACTTTTAATGGTTACGTCACATGTCTTACGGTTATGTCATATGTCTACGTATAAAACGTCAACAGTGATTTTATTGCATAGTAACACGCACTTTCGGTCCTTCTTTATTCAATAGGGAAAATACTATTATTGTTAGAATAAACAACAAAGCACAAATTTGTTTGGCTTTTTAATTTTATTAGGTTTATCATGTGAAAGACATTAATAATTTTGTTTTTATTTCTTATTCTAAATAGTCACTGAATATACAATATAGATATAAATACCATCAGGTTAGAAAAGAATTTATAAAAGTATGTATGAAGAAATAAAAAAAACAGTTGTTTTCTCCCATGAATCTGTAATTCACTAAATACAATGTTTAAAATCAGTTGTAATGTCTATATATTATATATAGTTTATATTTGACTTACTTTTCACCTAAGTGCTGCAAAATGTGCTAAATTCAATATTTTTAAACACGTCTTTTTATTCATAATACAACATTTAAAACGGCGTTCTGTCAACGTGACATAATGGTTAAAATTGACCGTGAATTAAAAGACTCATTACACTTGACAATGCTATTATTACTTTTCAAAAAAAAATATGTTTTGTTATTTTGTAACAGTTTCTAAAATGTAACTCATTTAGCATATCAATGAAACATTTTTTTTTTGGCTATTAGAAAATTTAAAGTGTTTTAGTTAGCATACATTGTAATCTTAATTTATTATTCAGCACCTTTGCATAAAAACTGCGCATGCATGTTAACATTTAAGAAGGACAATTTAACTTGCATTAACAGATAGATTTCTGTGACCATGAGCCTCGTATTCCGCAGAAAGGTTGTAATCATATCTAAGACTTAATGTGCCTTTAGGAACATGTATTTGGTTAATTTATATTAGTCTGTTGTTAACTATGTGTTACATAAATATGTGTACAAACGCAACATGTACATATCTATCTCCTGCAACACGAGGATACATACATGTATATGTGAAATCACTAAATCTACTATAATAAAACTAGTGAGAAATTTACAGACCAAGAATGTGTCTGCAACCATTACCAACATTTCTTGAAAACATTGTGCTTTTTATTTTTACATGTATAACACACAGTTCATACAATTTAAATAACACATAATCATCTGTGACTTATTCTGTCATTTTAAATGAAGCCTCAAATAAGATACAGAAGTTACAGGTTTATTTTTTATCCATATATTACATCTACACTGTGTTTGTTTTTTCCCCAATTTCCATTTACCCATAACATGCTAAATATCCATTAGGACTTGTCCATCTTTCAATCTGGAGAAAACCATTTATCATTTTAGGGGAAATTTAAAATATGAACTGTTTGAAAAGTGAACGTGTCCAGACTATGATCACATGGTACAGATGTGCCCGTTAATCTTGGTCTGCACTGGTCACTTGGGTAATGTGTAATTTACCGTCACCAAACAACAACATGTGAGCATTATTTATAAATATATATTTTGTGCTCCCTTTTTTTCCTAAAAAAAATGTATAAACATGTAAACTGGATAAAATATTGTTTTTTCTTTCTTGTTTCAAATTGAAATGCACCAATGGCCAATGTGAGCAATGTGAATAGGTCATTCTGACCTTATATAGAGCTTAAATTATCTATACATTGTATTAACTATTTGTAAAGTCAATCACCCAGCTATAACAACAAACACCCATTTTTCTTTCAGGTTTCACCTGATTATTTATCACATATTATTTTATATCTAAAAAAGAGGAGTATTACAATAAACAAAAAATATGCCTATCTTCTTTACTTTAAAAGTAACAAAATGAAACTTTTTTTATTCCAAAATACTAAAGTAAAATGCACTGTTATTGTAATATTTCGGCTTCAATTTGTTGAGCTTAGAAAAAAAATCATAATTCATGGTTCATAAATAACAATCTTAATAAATTCTAATCATTTATAAAAATCTTAACAACAACATTCAAAACAAGAAACAAAGTATTAAGTACAGGATCTTGGGTTTTTATATCAACTTAGGTCATGGCAAATTTTCCTCATATTACATCAGAACTGATAAGTTTATCAGGCAAATATATATCATATGATACAAAGTTTCAAGGACCAGCTGCATAAAAATGTGTTCAAACTGAAGAATTGAGTCATATGATTCTCTTCTACCCTATCACATCTTAAATGGAATAGTCCATCTGTCAATCTGGATATAACCATAATTATTTTTAGGGAAAATTTGAAATAAGTACTGACTGAATTTCAAATGGTGCAGGCCATGATCAGATGGCACTGTGATGGCAAACCTTGATCTGCACTGGTCACATGGTTAGAATTAGTGTCATCAGGAGGCTGTAACGCTTAAACACAGCACAATAATGTACTGACTTATCAAAATTTCAGCATATTTTTACACTACTTAAATTTCTTTAAATATCGAATCCTGTATTAAAAGTAAGGTTTAGATAGCTTTAGCTTATGTTAGAGAAAGTGAGATTTATTACTAGAGATGGATTCCTGAGGATGTCATTTACAGTGAATGTCTCTTAAATCTTTACCTCAAACCCTGCTAATGCCTAGCTTACACTAATGGAACTTTTCATTATCAATTTTAGGGATATGATGATGAAAATCTTAAGTTAGACAGTATAGAGGTATAGAGCCTGGTCAGACTGTTAATTTTCATGCTGCCCTACCTTTATACTGGTGGCATAACCTAACTAAGTTAGTTTCCAACAGGGCAAAGGTTAAAATCAAATTTGCTTTTTAAAAACTAGTTTTTTATAATGATTACTTGCTAAAAATAAAGTTTGATATATGTACATGTAATAACAAGTTGAATGTCAGTGTAAAATATTAATCTGTACGGAATCAGAAAAAGGCACAGGATAGTGTGATATACCGGACATATGTACATATTGCATTCTAAACAAATCAATATTGCAAATGATTGACATATTAACAGCACTGCCTGCAGCACTTAATGATATTTTATGATATGTTACAATTAAATTCATAGTTAAATATATTATGTAAAAAAAAATCAAGCAAGATCATGTGCGATCAAATAAAAAAACAACATGTTTTTAAGTAAAACTTCTACATTGGTAAAACACAAAATGTAGATTAAGTCATTTATAAAACATCATTACAAAATACTACATGGGTTGGAAAATATATCAAAATATAGGTAAGGACAATTTGTAAAAATTGTCATTTGTAAAATTACATATATTTTCATCAACATAAAGGGTTATTCAATTCTATCTTCTGATAGGCTAATTTGTACACACATATTTAAATTTTGACCAATGACTAAGCTTTTTTTCAAGACTCATTTCCAGATTTATGTTCTATAAGTGTATGTAGAGTTTTTTTCTACAATGAATTAATTTCTGCACCTGCGTGCACTATTCTCAAAAAATAACTTATTTGTCTTCCAGATTGAGTCACCCTATTCCTATGGAAACTATACATTAACATAAATTATAGACCTCAACTCATGTTTTATGTGGACCAAAATGCATGTTTTTGTGTTTTAGAAAAAGAATAATATAAAGCTTATACAAAAATGAAAGATGCTATATAAATCAATGTTAATTGAAAATATGAAAATAATCAATTGAAGAGGTTGAGAAACTGATATACTAAAAGTTAACAAAATTACAGAAGTGTGTGAAAATTAAAAGTGAAAGTTTATAATAAATGGTTTGTGAGCAAGGTTTGAGTATTTCTGTAAGCCTAGTCTATTCCTACTTGCAATTAAAAAAGTGTCCAGAATGCTCAGAGCGTGTCTTCAGGAATAAACAGCGAATGAAAGAGAAAGATGGTTTCATTAATTTCTGGAGATATCAGAATCTACTAAATGTGATAAAATATATCAGATCAAAGGCTTTTCTTAAACAAATCTTTATAAGTTATATACAAGAGACAACATTGAAATAAAATGATGACATCTGCTTACTACAACTGTTTTCTTTTAGTTAGGGGTTGGAGTGTATATGTAAATGAACTGTAATATGGCCAATTACCATCTCTACTTGTAGAGGAAGACATCAAGTGCCCAACAATGTATTGTCTAAGGCAAGGTACCTCAGTAAAACTACCCATTTATAGCGTTCGTAAGCTTGCTGGACCATGCTTACATACATGTTGCAGTTTAACTTAAATCTGTATCGTAATTTTTTAAACAAAAGTAAAAATATAAACAAAACATAAGACAAAACAGGCTACAAGATATCACAGGCTACAATTTTAACTTGAATGGATCTATCATGATTACTAATTTAACAATAGATTATAAAATAAAGTATGTGAGTAGTTAAGAATACAAGAATGAAAAATATCACAGACTAAAGTTAACACTACTAATACATGTAAATAGTTATAAAAATCCCTGTAGAAATAAACAATGCTGTAGAAAAATGTAATGCTTTAACCAATTAATAATATACTTATATACCATAATTTATTTGGTAAATTCACTCCTCATGGTTTGACAGTACTCCTCATGGTTTGGCAGTACTCCTCATGGTTTGACAAATAGGAAGAAATAGATACATGTATAAATATAGGAGATTCAATATTGTGTTTCAAATTATATTAAATAAAAAACAACTTTTAAACAACATCCATCTCTTAAAATTAAAAAAAGTTGACACTGAAATCTGACCTTCAATGACCAAGAAAAGGCAAACAAGATTTATACACCACCTACTGGCCTGCAGCAGAAATATGACAGGCATTGGCTGTTACATGCAACACCTTCCACCTAGTGAATAGCATCAACAAAAACCTGGTAAACTCTTTGCCCTGCAGGCAACAACTAGATGGCAAAATAATGCTAATACCCATCCCACCTGCACAAAACTAATTATCTTTCATATCATTCTAAGTTATACTTGTTTGCCATGGTATAAAAGGCAATGACTAAAGCACACATGGATTTTGACAAGACTCATACAAAAACAGATTTACATGCAAACCCATCAAATTATTTGGGGGTAAGGACAATGATGTCTGTGAGAGTAGAGTGTAGGAGGAGGGGTACAGGCTAGTGTCAAATTACACTATATACACATGTACTTTTCTTTAAATCTTAAGATATTACAAGGATGATTTTGGGCTGGTTATGCTCTAGTAGAAATAATAGTCTATGATGATGGAGAAACTAGGTTTACTGACCAATAGCTTATGTTCCTGAATAATAATATACATGGGTTGTCCCAATATTCTGTGACAAGATTGTTTAAAAGCTTAATAAAAAAGGTACGAATTTGATATTTTTATATGTTATAAACCCATATAATTGAAACATTTCTACAAATTTACATAGAAAAATATCAACAAATAACAAGCATATGCCGTAAATACCATGGCAACTATCTGAATCGCAGCACAAGTCAAATGTCAAAGACGGCGTTAAATCTATATAAGGCGCATTTCTCAAATACTCTCAATGGCTTACAACGCAAAAATGGTACAGCTTTACCCATAAAATGTCAATTACAGACTTAAATCACCTGGTTGTTAATATCTGTTGAATGTCTGGATGGCATACATTAATGTTTGCTATACGAAAACTTCCGGTATTGTTGCACCTGCTTTTAGCTGTAGGAAAAAGGCGACGGAGATCAGTCTTCCTATCATTGTTTTCCTTTTTTCCGCTTTTTGTAGTGCAGAACTCTGGTTCAGTTCATGCCTTTAGTAAACAAATGCTCAGGATATGTTGCTAAATTGTTCTATTTGGTATATTTGTTGAAAACTGTAACATGTGTCATCTCGAAAATAGTCAAGAAACATGAATGACCTGTTCACTGCGTCGCAAATTCTTCAAACGTCGCCATTTTAACTTTCCTATTTTCTATGAGATATTTTCATTTATCTATATCTTGTTTGTTTTTTAAGTTATTTAACTAAATGTTTTTGGGATGATGTAAACATAGCAGCAGAGGAAGTCAACTTGACATTGTGCAGACACATCATCAGATATTTGAAATATATGTTATTAATTTTAGCCTTTTCATAACAAAATGCAAATTATTTGACGTGCGCCGGCAACTCAAACCAATGTCGTTAATACTGAAAATTTCTAAGTAACTAGAGTAAATATTTTGTAAATGATTTGTTGTAATGTTAAATAATAAACTTAACGGTTATATGTGTGAATTATTATCTATTGGCGTTAAAAATGAACTGTCTATCAAATTTGTCACAGACTTTTGGGACAACCCTCGTATATATATATTAGTGAAATGTTCCTGAATAAAAATATATATTTGTGAAATGAAAATCAAGTTTCATTCACAAGTTAAAAAAATTTGCTAGTAAATGATTATGCATTAAAAGCATTGTCTGTGAGATCTAATTTTGGAAACTGATGGTATTTTGATTAACAAAAAAACAAATAAACAACACAAAAAGCCCAACCCAAAACTGTTTTAACCTCAAGCAAATTATTCAACCTCAAGCAAATCCTCCTCACTACAGATCTGAAAAAAATAATCTCATATTACAGTAACCTGATGATCATCATCAGAAATTACATAATTAACCCACCAATGTTTTATTAAATAAGTAAAATTTGACCTAGCTAAACTCGTATATAAATCTGGTATCATAAAATCACACAAGCCTTGGATTGGTTATCTGTTTGACTATTATTCCTGTAATTTTTCACTGCCTTTTGAACACTATCTACACCTTTGGCTTTCATTACAACATTTCTTAATTGAGGTTCATTTTTCTCTGTATGTTTGTCTGTTTCTCCGTCAGAATTTTTATCCGTCTGCTGCGGAAGTGGTTTTAATAATGCTGATCTATCTATATCAAAGTCATCAATGTCTTTATTTTTATTTGTGCGTAAGAATTCTTGTTCTCGTTCATAAATGTCCTCTGCCTCTGACAACAGATTTTCTACGAGTTCATCAGAAATTGGATGCTCTGTTATATGAACAGCAGAAAATTCAAGTTTCACTCTATTCACTGTAAAACAAAAATGAAAATAATTGATAATATGAACAAATATAATACACTAAATAGTACTTATACACAAGACAATTATAACAACATTCCCTGACCACAATGAACAGCAGGGACTATTTTTGCTTTAAGAGTTCAAAGATCCTGGTTATGGCCCTGCTCTGCAAAAGACCTGACACTGCAATTTGGACATATCCACAGACAACAACAACAAGCAAGGCTAATTTCTGGCCCCCTCCTTTCCTAAGGCCATGATTACAATTTACTGGTACACTGACAACAATGAATGTCAGCTATCTCAGTGCACAGACAATAAACAAACAAGAATGTACATTTGAACTTGCAAAAAAAAAATTCATACATCATTAGTGTAAAAATATTATGTATAAATACCCACCATCTGTAGGCAGTACGACTATGGGATAGAGGCCGCCAGGAGGTTCAAACATTACTCGTGTTAATGCTATATTGCGATTTATTGTGAGGTAACATATCACCATTCTGTCGACTTTATCGATCTGGGATGTAGGCATTAACATACCCCAACCAACTAAATCCCCGACCTTCACTGACTTCTCCGCTGAAAATATTGAAAAACATATATAATAACCAAAACAATACAAACATCTGGTAAAATCAATATAAATATCTAAACAAATCAAATGACTAAAATTGCAGGTTTTGAAGCATTGACCTTCTGTGAATTTATATTCCCCTAAAAAATGATTGTCGATTATTTGGTAAGGTATTGAAGTGCCTAAGGCCAGAAATAAACAACAAGTAAAAAGACAGTTATCATATTTACCTTCTCCAACAGCCCAGAACCTGAGGTATTCAATTCTATAGTTTGAATTTATATCTTTTTGATTATCACTAGTCGCAGCTGCCGTCAAGGCTATGATTGGTGGAGGGGGGTTACCATTTCCAAACTCATCTAATATCTCAATCTCAAAATGATTGAAAACTGTAAAACAACATGTCAATGTTAAAGTATGAAAAGTCATGGTAAAAAATATGTTAAATTGAATAATGTGGTTATTCTCAACAATCATGTAAAAGTCATGTTTCTTTGGATGAATCTTTGTTGGGAATGACAGATTATATTTATATCTAGGAAAGAATGTGTTAAGCCGGATGTAGGGTTTAATAGGAAGGTTACAGAAAAGAACCTAATAACAAAAGTAAACCATTTTCTATGTAAATATGTAATAAATTACAGAAATACTGATCACACTTTTTTTCTGCTGTGGTACCAATCAAATGACTGACACTATTTAAAAAATCTTAATACCTATCATCACATGTGTAATATTTTAGTCATAGTTCATAACAAGAGAGCCATAATAAATGTTTTGTTGAGCTGATTAAGACACACCAACACTGTAAAGATCATATCAGGTATTTTCTAGCTTTACTGGTGGAAGAACACCTCAGCAGCACCTTCTTACACAACTCTCTAACTGGGAACCTGAGTAGAACCACCAATCTTCCATTAGCTAGCTGGATAGCTTCTTCGCATAGTTTCAATCTAAATCCCTGATTGAAAAGAGCTCTGTCTCTGTTTTGAAGAAACCTCTAGTAGGGAGAATTTTCATGCGGTTTTCCCTTGTTGGGGTCTTGGTGGAATTTCAGGCAATTTCCGCTGCACATATACACAATTGTGAAATAATCATGTGTTGATAATGATTTGCATTATAAGGATAAAAAAATAAGGATCCTGTTAGTGGCAGGTATATGCAGTTCAACTATATTTAAGGGGAGAATGTTGTTGAATTTCAACATCAAAATTTTTGAATTGATGGCCCAGTGCTATAATAATCCATAGTACTGAGGGGCAAATGATTTGATATCAGCAACTTACACTACTTAGCCACCAGAGTGACATGCATTAAGTTTATGTAAAATGAAAATCAATATTGCTAATATTATGGTTATGTTCTTAAGGTTATATGTACTTACATTCATTTAAATGTGCTGGACATTGTAACGAGACAGGTTTCAGATGGTCCTTGACTGTAACTATATTTGTTTGCTCATCTATTTTACTGTCTGGTGGCAAACACCAGTTTCCTAGGTTACACTGTAATTAAAACACATATCTATATGAAACACCCACTATCTTCTTGTTTGTATATTCTTATTTTTCAACTTATAAAAGACTGGTTGCTGGTACTGATGGGAATACCCAGATGGAGGGTAACTGTTTACAGCTTTTACAAGGTATTGCTCAGTTACCGATGCACTGAACAATAAATATGAGCCAGACACAAACATACTAGCAGCTAAAGTTTGCTTCTTTCTCTTGCATATTACATTTCAATTTTGGTTCAAAAATAAAACTTGAAAACTAACCCTTAACCGACTGGAACAGAAAGTAATTAACCTTAACCACTAATAAAGTGCCTGACCTACATGTTTGTACCGTCTGATAAGGACAGTTAACAATATGGAAGCTATACAATTAGATTTAAGAAATTAAAAGGATTAAAAGCTAACATTATCATTTAGCACCATTTTTTTTTTATTGTAGTGAATAACATTGACATCATTCATATTATGTGACTTATTTTAGAAAAAGATAAGTAAGATAACATTTCCTAAAGAAGCAATACATGTGTATTATATTGACAAATAACTTTTGTAATGATAATAAATAAATACAATTCTTACAAATACATGTATATTAGGTCCCTCTGAAAGTCGATTCTGCCAGAAGACGTTCAGTTTCACATCATAACCATTCCCGCACAATGATATTGTTGGTAATAATTCATCATGTTTAATTGTTACATAACGCATCCCAACAGGACGATTATTTTTTATAAATAAAACTACCGAGTCTCCATTATCATTAAAGATAGTTACATCTACACCAACAATATCACCTGCAATAATAAATATGGTAGTAATGAGGCTCTGCCAAATTTCTGCTAAACATTATATAATAGCAGTTTATGTTTGATTCTCTTTCTTAAAAATTACTAATAAAGTAAATTGTAGTATGTAAAGAAATAGGGAGAAATGTTCTATACAATGCTCCTACACTCCAAACTTCTGTCAGTCTATAGAAGGAAAGCCTGACAACAGGAAAAAATTGGCAAGCAGACAAAAGCAAATCTATATGCTAACCTCCCATCTAAGTGGAGGCATAAAAACTTTAAAATCATTTTTTCTTATTTTTTGTAAAATAGTAGCATGTGAGTTTACAACTTGATTCATTACAGTGGGAATGACATCATCAAAATTGTGTAAAGCTTAGCTGGCAAAATATACTTTAAAATTTCTTAAAGTGTAAAATCACATTGTTTTTTTATATTCTTATGGTAATTCATATGACAATACAAAATACTACTATGCTGACTAGACACTTAAAAAATAGCTTTAATTATACACTTCAGTCATAAAGTTAAAGCTAAACATAACAAAATCCCACTGATCCTTTTTCATATCTTTGTTTACTTTTCGTCCAGAAGGTTACAATAAAGGCATTAAAATAAAAAAAATTGTACATTTACCTTCATTAAATCTTTCACCTTCTATATTGCCATTTGCCTTTTCGTTGCAGTACATTTTCCCGTCACGGGACACATATCCCGTGGATAGAGGACATTTACCAGGATGTTTATTTAGTGGGAATTTATGATCACCAATACCTATGCTTATCACAGAATCTTCATCTGCAAACAAATATAAATGCTATAAATAGACTTTGTCTGTAGTAGAAACGTTCTTGAAATGTACATGAATTATAGTGACATTTCATAATTCTTTGCGTACTTGAATCTTTATTCAATATTTCCAGGATCTTACATAGCTTTTGCTATTTGAAGAATTTGTTTTGTCATCTACATAAATATTGAAAGATTATCATACATTAAGATAAACAAACACATGAACACAAACATGCACCTGCACGCACAAACACAAGTTGTTCTTATTGGGTATATATCTACCTTCTAATTATATAATATATACAAATAACATAAGTTTTAAGAAACTTTTTTCTCAACTGTTTGCTATTATAGCTTATGTAAAGCAATTAGGCTTTATGTGAGTAATAGCCTTAAGCCCTGCATGGTTTAAGGAAATAAAAGCTCTAGGAAGTCCAGAATGTTGTCAAATAAGCTTCAAACTTTCCCCACAACTTGATACAAATAAGTGCAATCATATAAGTTTAAACTAAAACTCAGCAATATGACTGCCCAATCAAAGAATGGCCCCTGTGTAAGCTTAACTTTACTTGAAACTTATATATGTATTATATTGACTTACTTAGTTTAACAATTTGAGCACAAAAGTATGAATGTTCTATGGTTAGACTGTCATTGAACTGTATCACATGAATTCTTCTCTTGTCCTTGGGGACACTGACTTCACAATAGCTCTCCCCCACCACAAGCTCAACATCATCTGACTTCCTGAACATATCTTTATTTAATTCTGCAGACAAATATAATTTTTTTATTTTACTAAGCATACGTTATAATTTCAAGTACATGAAAAACTGATATACAATGAACAAGTGTACAACAAAAGGAAATCAGTCAGGCAACTGTGTCTTAATAAATTAGGATAAGCCATCCATTCTCAGAAAATTAATAATAATTATTTAATTCATATACTGCATAATGACCATGTTGAAGAAATGGTGACTTATTTTCAAGAAGACTTACTTTCCAGACAGACTTATTATCTAATTTTTATAGAGTAATACACATTTATAAATATACCTCTGTATTCATTGTCTACTTGTATCATATGTTGAGCATCTGTCAATTTTTTTTGGTACAAATCATCTAGCAAGGAACGTGTACTTTCTTGACCTAGGTCACGATTTGTCTCTAAATCTAGGGAGACCTTTGAAGCTGAAATACATAAAGTTTACACGATTTATATATAAAATCATCTAAGCTATATATTTTTTTTAATTTTCATTTCAGCATGATTTAAAAAAAAAGAACTTTTATTAATCACTTTCTAGACCACATTCCGGATTTTTATTCCAGTCTTATAATATCAAAACTTGAAAAGCATTGAGAATTTCTTAACAATACCTATATTAATTAATTTGTTTATTAAACTTGTCATGCAAAATTTAAGCAAAAAGTGTAGTAATTATAATGTAATCCATGTACATGTATGTTAAATTACATACTGCAGACACTTTTTTTAGTAAAACTCTCCCAATAAGTATATCAAAAGAACATGAATGTACTTTATCTAACATTTTTGATATACCCAAAATTGATAATGATTATCCCCAGAAATGGGAGCCAGCCAAGACCATTTAAGAGATTCAGCAAGTTAGGGTTAAAGGCACATTATGCCTCAAAAATGAAAAGTTGTTCTTCTAAAGAAATGAGAAACAGACGTTTTATAGCATTTAAATAATGGTTTAAGAACAATTTAGATGCTTATCACCTGAAGAAAGTAGCACGGAATGTGAAGTTATTTGTTATAAAAGTAGCAAAATGTAAACAAAGTAGTATTTTGACTTCCATACAAAATACTAACTCACTATAAATGTACTAATTGCCAAAAATTGCCAAAAAGCAACAGGAGCAAAAGATGGTTCAGATAATTGGCCAAATTGAGTTTCTTTTTTTAAACTATGATAAGACACACAAAAATAAAAAGCTTTCTACAAATACAAATTTAAGCATTTCTGAGTCATAATGGGCCTACAGAAAATAAAACAAATCAAGATTTACCTGCCCTTGTCATTACAATTAAAGGATAGAAACCACCTGAGGGTTGTATCATCATTCTAAAGAACACAATTTGCATATCCATAGTAACAAAACATAAGACTAATTGTTGCTTTTTATCATCAAAATCTGGCTTTGACACTTCTGCTGGATTATAGTGAATTCCAAACCCGATTCTTTGACCTACGTGACACTTCAAGTCTGAAATACAGGTGTAGTGATTTAATTTTTTTCTTTAGAAGAACAAGTATATTTCAAGAAAATACAGGTTTATCTATCAGGCCAAAAAATGTATTCCATTTCTTTCAGACTCTGTTATTTTATTTTGGTTCTTTAAGAAATGCTTTTTTCTTGCATTTTGGAATACAAAATTTACAAATTGAAGAACTGCTTTTGATTGTGATTAAAGATTAAGCAAATTTATAATTTCTGAGTCTCTATGAATGCAGTAAAAATAAAATATCTATACGATATAATAAACCATGGATACAATAAGAATAAAACTTTAGAATGGCATATCAATCCATGGTTACAGTAAAATACCAATTTTGTATGACATATTAAACCATGGTTACAGTAAAATACCAATTTTGTATGACATATCAATCCATGATTACAGTAAAATACCAATTTTGTATGATATTAAATCATGGTTACAAGGAGAATATATTTTTTGTATGAATAATCAAACAGTGGTACCAATAGAGACTAAGCATTTCAAAATTTCCTGAACTAATTAATCAGCCACTGAGACATATAGTTAATAATCTGTACAGAAATCAATTTTCATAACCAAAACAATAATATTATTTTACATTTTAAAACTTAAATTATACCTTTCCCCTCAGCTTTCCATCTAAAGAAATCTCTAAGAAGAACACATGTTGGAGTTGGTATCAATGGGCTGCATGTCGCTAGACCAACGGCAGGACTTTCACCATCAGATGTTTCCATCACTATCATCTCATAGTGAACTAAATCTGAGAACAAAAATCATAAAAATCTGATCGAATTTTGTACATATGAAACCAGTCAACAAAATCAACAAGTTGGAGTTGCTTGCTAGTTTTATGCCAGCTTCCAAAATGATCAAATTGTCAATAAATGCACTCTGTTTGTCAATCAAATAGTATGTAAGTGAAATTCCATAGCAGATATGTTCAATTATTAGTTTCTTTATCATGTAAAAGGGCTCAACATTTATCACAACTGAACTTAAATTTATAGGTTTTAACAAATGTCTAAAATGAAAATTCTTCCAAACGATACTCTAGTCATTAAATAATTAAGTAAATTAGTAAATACTAAATATGGTATGATTCAGCAACATGATGCTTACATACCTCTGGTAAGAGGAACCGGACTTTGTAACGTGACCTCAAGCTCTTTCTTGTCATATGTAAACATGTTCTTAGCTGGATCATAATTTACCCCAGTGTCCTTAATCCAATTAAGCATGTTTCTCTGAAAAAAAGAAAGATTAGTTTTAATGTTTCATTTTTAAATGTAGATTAATTTTAAGATTTCATTTTTAAATGTATTTTTTTAGGTATTTTGACCTACAAGTATTCAACTGGAAATCTTCATTCTTCATGATTAGTTAAAATCTATTTATTGGTATAAAAGATTTTATCAGAATTTGTGAATGACTTACACAAGCTGTCATTTACAATGTGTACCTCAAAATGAGTGATGAAATTGTCAAAAATATTAAATTGTAACAACATCTCAAACATTATTACATTTGACGTGAAAAACTTTTAATTTATCATGTGTTGATGTTGGAAAATGAAAATATATCAATTTTCATAAGGATTAATATTACAACTAATGCAACAAAGAGCAATTCACACATATGAGAGACCAAATACACATTGTTGTTTCATACAGACCTATACCATTTCTGAGATGGGTTTCATTAAAGGCTTTATAATTATCTTTTTTTGGCATGGCATGACTGGATATAACTTTTTGAGATTTGTGAACCATTTGATGTGGATTACATGTAGAACCAGAGTAACTTGTGTGCAAAATTTCAGATCATTCCCTCTGACACTCAATTTTTCAAGAATAATCATTTTAATGAGCTAAATGACCCAAAAATGAAGTGTTTAAACACTTATCTTAAATTTTACTAAGAAATACAAAAGTAATAAATTTTCAATTTATTAAGAGTATATTTCTTTACTTTTACTATATTTTCCATTTTAAGTTTCCCAGATATAAGATCTATGTAAAAAATAAAGAAATTCTAATTTTATTTTTTAAACCTCAGTGGAGTACCTTATAACGTGACTACTCTATAGTCCTATAAAATTCTTTTTATCACACAATATCATAAAGCTAAAAATCAACAAAATAATCACAGTCTGATAAAACGATTTTTCGAATTGTCATAACAATTTATATTTCACACATATAACATACAAATATAAAAAAAACTACATGTAAATGGTTTCATAACATTGAAAAAAAATCACTGCCATGTGATAAAAACATATCTCACAAAGCTATATCAAATACATAGGTTAAATAAGTACCTCATCAAATTTCGGTATTCCAATAGCTGCCTGCGGCCACATGATACCTAAATCTATTGGTCCATTCTCTAGGCATAACGTTGGCAAGAACTTGCTGGAATCTGGCTCAAATAAATACCTGAAAATCAGCAAATAATAAGAGGTTTATACACGGCAGGAGAGGGCCGGAAGGTGATAATCGGCCCGCAAAATGAATAATGGACCCGAGGGCTTTAGCCCGAGGGCCATTATTCATTCAGGGCCGATTATCACCTCCCCGCCCTACTCTGACGTGTATTAATGTCTTTAATACACTTTGTAGATCTAATAGTAGCATTTTTTTTAGAAAATACAACAACAAAGTTCTTTCGTTAAAATTCTTGTCTACTCTTCTACTGTTCTGTACAGAGATGTTTAATGTTTGTGTGTTGAAAGCAGTAGAATCTAGAAGCAAGTTTTATTTTCAATTTTTCGGAATGAATTTGTCATATTATTTCTTCAAATTTCAAAAGTAACAAAAATGTGTTTGTACTAAATATGCTTAAGCTCTCATAATAAAAATAAAGCAATTCGTGCTGACAACCTACTTTCACTTTTACAGTTAACTGTTTGATGACGTAAAATATGACGTCATTGTTTCAGTTTGTGCATGTGCACATGTTCTGCGGGCTGATAACTAGTTCTCGGCCCCGGGCCGCAAACTCATAATAGGTCACGTGACACTCATAATCAGTTGAAATCATAGGCAATTTTGTTACTATATATAGTAACAAGTGTATTAAAGAGAATTAATTAACAATTGTCTTCACAAGTCAGTAAGTCTAAAATCATTAACCTATAGATTCCTATGTACAAAGCAGAAAATGTAGGTTATTTTCACTAGCATCAGTAGTTAAATAAAAGGCAGCACGATATTTATCAACACAAGCATAAGTTTAAACTTCCGTTTTCAAATCCAAAGGTTTCTGTCACATTAATGACCTTCGAACAATATTTTTCGGTGTAAAAGGGACCTACTCTCAAAAAGCGTCACAATATAAAGTATAAATAAGTTTTATAACTAATGATGTACTGTTACTAAAAGCTTTAACAGCAAAGTTTTTTATGATCTTAAACTATTCATGTACAACTTTAACCGTGGTAAAAGTAATGTTTCATAATTGTGCCATTTTCATTATCAATCACAGGAAAACAATTGACAAGCTATAAAACATGTACTGAATATAAATTGATAAAACCTAAACCCTTGCTTTGTCACCAAATGTTATTGGTGTTCCTAGGTTCTATAGGTTAAAAAGGCCTTGAAATACAATACATTTAAAATATTCATACACTAAGGATAACAGACAAGGTAATCCAAATTATATCCAACATTGTCTATAACATGTGTATATTGAGAATTTGAATTCTAAGTCTTTCTTATACCTAGTTGCAACTGGAATACCATTCTTGATGAACAGAACAGTTGACATAGTCTCTCCAAAGTAGGTCACCATCACCCCAAACATATCTCCTACAAAACCAAAGAAAATACATTATTTCAATTTAATTTGTAATATATTGGTCTTGTAGCATAATATCTTTTATACTAAACACCAAACATAATTAAAGAACTCAATGCATTGTATAGTGTAAGTGAAAATTCACTTATTCCTGAACAAGTGATAGTCCACAAGAGATACATGTATATTAGCAGACTTCATTGCTGGATGATTAAGGCTGCTGAGTTTAAAGCATTACAACAATCTTAAATCCTGGCAGGGACTTTAGATTATTCATTCTCATGAGAATGGTATCCTGCAAGATTACTCAAGTTGTTGGTTCTACCTAGGTACCGAACCAAAACAGAAAATGATACCTGAAAGCTGCTTTCACTAGTAAAGTCAACAGTTGACCTTTTAGTGTTTTTGTGACTTAAAACACAACCAAAAAGAGGTTCTATTAGTATTACATTTCATTTTATTTATGCTTTACTTTTCTAAAGCTATCCAATTTTTATTGAAAGCAAGTAAAAGTTAAGTGAAATCAGTCTTTAAACATGATATAACCAAAAAACCCATTTATTCTAAATTGGTATAATTTATTTAAGCAGAACATACATGTATATTGGCAGCATTCTCTAATATATACATTGCAAGTATATATCCAAATGATATACGGCTAAATAATTGTGATTGAAAACAAAATATGACCAACATCCGTATAAAATAACATTTACAATTTAACAAATATCAAATTGCAGTAAGAAACTATGTTTCAGTCTTTGTACCTATCTGATATATTTTCGGCAAGAGATTAAATATTTTACCAATTGAAAACTTCTCTCCTTTTGTGTTAGCAGAGCTATTATGTGAGGAAAAACATTTTCCTGTATCACTATGGAAACCGACAGTGTTGTTCCAATGTCCAGGATGGGCATCATTATCTATGTCAGGACCAGCTATACCCAGTGTTATACAACTGTGTTGTGCTGTGAAAAATAACATAAATTAAAATTTCCTGAGTGCTTGACATATATAACCCCATACTGATTTGAATTTAGAACAGTCCATTTAAAAATTCAGGGCTTTTGTTAAAACACAAAAACCGAGAGACCAACAGTATAGAATCTGGTCAGACTACTACATGTAGTTTCCAGTAGGTTAAGGGTTGAATTGAATATGAAGAAGAATTACATCAATAAATTCAATCAGGTACTGTACTCAGTACTTAGGATAAGTATAATATTTTAAAACACGTATTTGCCATATACATTTTGCAATAGTTTAAACAAAATAAAACATTTTACTTATATCATTCAGCATCATGATCATGTATGTAACATATTTACCAATTATACTAATACCTGTTGCTTTTCTATTCATATGAAAGCAAACTTTTGCTCTTAAATAGTAAATTATTTTTCTGAGAATAATGTGTCCTTTTTTTATTCATATAATATTTATATTCTTTCCCTGCAATTGAAAATACCCCTAAGGATAATATAATATTTCTTCCTAATTTATGGACATGTAAATAAACTTAACTAATTAGTCAGATTATTGTTTAGTTCAAATAATAAAGAAATAGATTCTTGGCAGTCATTGGACAAGACCAAATTAAAGATGTATAACTGATTGAAATGTCTCAACCAATTAACCATCGAGGCATGCTATGTACTCACCCAATGACCTGATTTGAGCAAAAAAATATGGATGTTCTCGTGTAAGTGGCTGCTTCAGTTGTAGAAAATTGCTTGTCTCAGAAAACTTCTTCAACTGAACATTGCTAATCTGTCCAGGTAGAGGTTGGTGATCATCAAACAAAATGTCACCTGCACAGCGAAACAGGCCAGACATTTTCTCAGTATCTGAAATAAAGTTTTAAAAAAATGTCAAAATCTATAGCAAAATGAATTTAAAAGCTGTATAATGAATGCTTACTCTTGCTGAATTTTGAAGTTGTCTTGGATATGATTTAAAGCTGACCTCTGTAAATAAGTTATGGTGATTTATATACTTGTATACATAAAACAGTTAACCATTATTGACCAGACAAATTAGCTAAATGTCTGTGGCTTGAATAATACAAAGACGACCAAGTAACAAAATCTTAAATAGTAAAACATGCCTAAACAAAACAGATTAAGGAGTTGATTATGCACCAGTCATAGTAACCTAAACACCTGGGGGAAAGTCAGGCACAATAAGTTTTGCCAAAGTTTGAGATGTTCAAACCTTATCTTTACAAATAATATACTCTATAGAGATTGAAAGAAGGTAAAATCCCATCACACTCAAAAATTGAGGTTATAGCTGCTAACATGAAATAACATTGACCTGGACAAAATAATGAAAAGTAAAAACTTTAGGCTCATTTCCCACCTTGTTCCTCACACTGCCTTAAGGCTATTGAGCTACTTTGTATTTTATGTATGGGTAATATTTCCTCTCTCAGAATACAAAATATATCTCTGAATCAAGTTTAGACATTGATATTTGACTTAATGTGTGGAGTAGTCAGAATATTCTTCATCACCCATCCAAAATTAACTTGATTTCTATTTTACAAGTCTTAGTTGGACTATTTTTCCACTTTATTATCTAGCCTGGCTATCAAAACATTATATGCAGCTTTTTACAAAATACTTCTTTTGTCCTTTGTGTTATTTTATTTTTGGATCAGAACTGTATTTAAACCATACCAGAATAACACACATACATTTATCTTGTTTTAATTTCCAACTTTCTATTCACAATTAATTTTTGAGTATTACTTGATAAAACAATTAATTCAATATCATTTAAAGAATCAAATTACTAGAACATTCATTAAAATTGCCTATTTTACTGCAAAACACAATTATTGGAGTTTCTCAACTATTTTGCCTTCAGTATACCTGTCCTGTGACATATAAAATCAGGTGCAATGAGGACCTAAAACTTCAATCTAAACATCAGGTTTAAGCTCAATAGGTAGAGCATTGACTGTGAACTGGGTGACCCGCCCAGGTTCGATTCCTGGTTGGCAATGCATGTCACTTTTATTGTGATCAATCATTTTTTTCTGGTTATTCGCACTGTCACAGACTCTGCTCTGGCACTTACAGAAGTTATCAGTTCCTTGTGAAAGTGAGGCAACTAGTACTGGTAATCTGCTCGACAGCCTCTCCTCAAATGATGGGGTGGCTGAATTGTGCTCTGGATTAATTCAATCTGACTTACAGCTGTGAGGGTAAACTATCATGGAATCCGGGTCAGCTCGGCCCTAAAACGTACTCGACCCCCAAGTCAGCTCGGCCCTGGGTCAACTCGGCCCACTTTTCAATTATTAATATTTGGGTTTGTGTTATCACTATTTATTGTGATAATTGTAATTATCTATAATACAAGGATTGACAGTTTCCGAACTAGCAGCAGACAGGCTTTTCTTATCAGTAGAATTGCGAGTAAAGATAACCGATTGAGTATCTCACTGAATTTCTGACTCGTGGTAGGTTTAACTCAGTGTTCGAAATTAGCAGTAGTCCTATAGCCCCTGACTTCTAAATTTCTCCTCGGGCTACCAATTTTTCAAAGTAACAAGCCCGACCAGGCTACTGTATTTTCAGACGCAATATAAACAACTGTTTTGAACCAATGAATTGTGCTAGTGAAATGTCTTTTGGGCTAGTGAATATTTCAATCTGGTAGTCCGACCAGCCTACTGGGATCCTATATATTACCGGACAAAATATGATGTTTTTTCGCTGTAACTTTTATTTAAAATAATAAAAAAGAATGAAATTTTACTCAAATAATTGTGACTTTTTAATATAAGTAAACATTCCTTTATCAAACATAAAATTAAACATTTGACCGTAGAAATGTGTCTTTAAAGTAGGGCATTAAAAGAGGGAAAAAATCGTGTAGACAACTCAATTTGAATGGCAAAATTGAGATACTGGAAAAAATAAGTATGTCACAGAAATAGACACGGCAGCCATGCTTGTTACGAAGAGGCCAATATAGGGGTGTAATTGAAATTAACACTATTAACTCAATTAACATATTGATTCTTCATGATTCTTAAACATTTTGATATTCAAATGGAATTCTGTTTTTTGTCATACAGTTTTGTCATCATGTAGCATGTTGCAAAAGCCATAAAATCTATTTTATTTATATACATGTAGTTTCCTCCCATGGGCGTAACCCGTTTCCTTATATGTTTTTTAATTTGCATTTCTTTGTAAAAGACAACAACAACGAGATGTTGTTTGAACGAAATTCAAAATTACTTTTTATCATTAAAATATGTTATGATTGTCTCCTGAGGTAACATTGAGAAGAATTAAAAGTAAAACCTATCTAAAATAACTCATTAAGGGCCTCATTATAGGGGATGCGCAGGACAGATTATTTCCCCGCATTGCCTGGAGTAACTAGTAAACAAAAGAGTATGTTAGTAAATAATGAACTGAATCGACAATATTTGCCTGAGAGTGGTTTTGTTGTTATTTACTTTGAAATAGAAAGTGTGTGTACCATTCAGACCGGATGATTTTTAATCGAAGCAAAAAATAAAGCCTTATTTGACAGGAATAGATTTTGTCCGGTAAACTGATTGTCCGGTAAACATGTAGGATCCCAGTAGTGGATTCAAATCCTAATTTCTAACACTGTTAACTGTAAATTTAAATACCTTCAGTGTCAAAACAATGTGTTGAAATATATACTGAGAGGAAGCTAAGATCACCAGCTTTTAATTGGTGTAATAAATTTTAAAATCGGACATAATTTGCATTCTTTTACAAGCGAAGGGAAACAACTCTTGATTTTTTTCACTCGATTTACCTCAGTTATTTACGTAGTTCATAAAGAGACTGTCAATTGGTGGAGACAAAGAGAGTTTATAAATATAACAAAGAGCAAACAGTGCTTATATAGAAGCTTATGATATTAAGTAAACACGTTTTTGTTTCAAATTTTTTTGAATATTACTTTACAAACAAAATGCATCTAAGGTAACACATTTTTATTAGATCTATATTAATTTTATCGAATCTGCAAGACAAATAAATAACATTTTTTTTTCCAAATATACTTTATTTCGGCAGAAGTACAATGTATAATAATAAGATATTTCTTATTAATTATTCATTTACCTTAACAACATGCAAAGCAAAGTTAATATGTTATATATTTTTGTAAAGTGCCGAGTTGACCCGTGCCGAGTTGGTAAAAGGGCAGAGTTGACATTTTTCCACTATCATGTTCAACACACTTGTAAACACATTAACCTACTGTCCTAGGATGATAACTTGAGCCTTTGTTTACATAACAAAGACCAATAACAATGCGAAAAATAGGTGAGGCAGATCAATGCCACAACCTATAAAAATGAAAATAAAACTGCATGTTATCATATGTCTTGTTAGCGCAGTAGGTAGAGCAACCGTGACAGTAATGTGTTTTACCTGTACAGGCAGAAGTTCGACTACTAGTAAGACACGTTTTTTACCTCAAAACTGTCAATTGTCCAGAAAAACAAGTTTGACCGTTTTTTTTTCATATACATACATGACTATGAGATCGAATATTTTATTACACTGCGATCAAAAATACAAAAAAGTAGAATTGAAATAAAAAATAAATATATACTATAAACCATATATTATAAGAAGAAATCAAAAAGGAAAACGAAAAATAAATAAATAATAATGATAAAAAAACAGAGCAAGAAGGAAAAAAATGTGGTTATAAAATGGCACCACGTGGGGTTCGAACCTATGAGGACAAAACACTAAAAATTACAATAACTTCGATCTAACGGCAAAGCCATAACGGTAATACACCAATGATACTGTAAGAATAATGCTATATAGTATATGTAAGTGTTTACTTTTACGATATCGGATAAAATTCCAGATAACCCCGTTTTTGGACTTTCCCATGTACCGTTAAGACCAAATTATCATCCTAGGACAGTACCACTTACCAGTTCTGCACTGTCTTAATCTTTAGTCAAGAGAAAAATCTCTTACCAACAATTGACATGGGCAAATTTTGCAATTAACTGACAAATAAGAAAACCAAAATAACAGTTGGCTGTTGAAAAAAAAGCTAACTTCATGTAGAAGAGTAGACAACAAATTGACTTTAATAGTCAGGAAAAAGGTAAAGTATGAAAAACGAAACTAGAAAGACATGTTCACATAACTTAACTCGTATAAAAGTTACCTAAGCATCACGTCTACAATATATTCCAAATCGAAATGAAAACAGGCATTTAAATGCTGTAGAGAAATGTCGTGTTTATTTTATTTTCAGTGTGCGTCATGTACATTGTTGACACCTGTAACCAAAATAAACGGAAGTGAAACTTTCGGATTACCTTTTCTTACACGCCACTAAATTATTTTCAATTTAAGCGATATGACACTACTATATTTTTTCCTTCTAGATCTACATGTTCCGAAAAATAACACTAATCCACCAAGCGGAAAGTATTTTTCTTAACATAGCCCTATTGTGAAATGAGTTTACAACTAACATCTGAAACCTATAATTATGGTTCTGTGCCCCACTATTCAGTTTTTTTAATCCCTTTATAAGATAAGATAAGTTTTATTTCAAGTTGTCAAGTTTACAACAGTACAACATAAGCTCTAAGAGCTTTGATAACACAGTCCTTTTTAAATATGTTTTTATAAAATAAACCAGATGCTAAAAAACTAAAATGATAGTTTACTTAATTCTACATCACTTGCTTGTATATTTAATCATGCTTACAATGTCAGGTATCTAAAACATTTTACTTAAAGTTCAATAAATTATACAGATTAAAACAATTAAAATGATTAATGAATAGACAAATAAATAAATGAATACTAAAGACTGTTTTTAGCTGATTTTAAATATGAAAGACTTTGGGTTATCAAACAAATAGACAAAGACAGAGGGGATCATAAGTCAACAGTTGAACTCATATAAGAGCTTGCTTGAGTCATGCTGTGAAGATAAGCAAAACAAAAAAAAACACAAATTAAGCAAGATCCTATCTAGAAGCTGAATGATAATATTAAATACGCTGGAATTATAAGTATTATTATTAAGTAAATAAATAAATAAAGAAATAGAAATTAGCTGCAAGCAATACATTTACACTGTTTACCATTCCAGGATGTGATTAACTTTTTAAACTGAGCAAAGTTTGAACACTTTCTAAAATTGTAAGGCAGGAATATCCATAAAGCAGCTGCAGCATACCTGAAGATTTTTTTACCAGCAGTTTTTACTTAAGGGATCTGCAATATATTTGAATATTTGAAATTTATACCAGATGTTTTCTTGACAGAACAGCAGGAGACATATCATGAAAGATCTTAAAAGTTTCAATAGCCATAGCCCTCATTCTTCTTTATATAATTATGCAAATAAAACTAGAACTATCACTAAATGTGATTAATACCCCTGCAAGATTGCTTCAGAAATGAGGAAGTTACTAGCATCAGAATACCTTAATTGCAAAAGAACTGAAATAGAGTTATGGTTGTGGGCAATTAAAGATAGTTGTCGTTCTTGTATGTTGCATTTCCTTTTAATGTGGTTGATCATTGATGAAGTTTTATTGAATTACTCTGTAATAAGTCCAAAAAGACTTGCGCTTCTTGAGCACTGCACTTCCTCTCATTGCGCTTGACCATTGTATGAAGTTGCATTGAATTCTAAAAATTAGTTTTTAAGTTATGCACCGGACAAGGAAAAGGAACAAAGGGCAATAACTTTACAAATACTGATGGAGTTATGGTTATTGTACACTGCACTTCCTCTCATTGCCCTTGACCATTGTATGAAGTTGTCTTTAATTCCAACTACTAGTTTTCAAGTTATGCACTGGACGAAAAAAAATAACAAAGGGCAATAACTGTAATTTGTCCCACTGCACTTCATCTGACGGCCCTTGACCATTGTATGAAGTTTCATTGAATTCCAACCATTAATTTTCAAGTTATAAACTGGACAATAAAAAGTAACAAGGGCAAAAACTCTTAAATGAGTCAAGAAAGAGTTATGGTTTCTGTGCACTGGGCTTCCTCTCAATATACTTGACCATTGTATGAAATTGTATTGAATTCCAACTAATAGTTTTCAAGTTATGCGCTGGACAAGAAAAAAGCAATGAAAAAGTAACAAAGGGCAATAACTCTATAATTGCCCTGGACAGAGTTATGGTTCTTGTGCACTGCACTTCCTCTTTTTGTGCTTGACCATTGTATGAAGTTGTTTTGAATTCCAACCAGTACTTTTCAAGTTATACTCCGGACAAGGAAAGAATCAAAGGGCAATAACTCTGTAATTAGTCAAGATAGAGTTATGGTTTTTGTGCACTACATTCCTCTCAATGTGCTTGATCATTGTATGAAGTTGTATTGAATTCCAACTAGTAGTAATGCTTCAGACAAGGAAAAGTAACAAAGGGCAATAACTCTGTAATTAGTCAATATTGAGTTATGGTTCTCATGCGCTGCACTTCCTCTCACTGTGCTTGATCATTGTATGAAGTTGTATTGAATTCCAACCATTAGTCTTCAAGTTATGCTCCAGAAAAAAAAAAGCAATGGAAAAGTAACAAAGGGCAATAACTCTGTAATTACTTTAGATAGAGTTATGGTTCTTGTGCACTGCACTTCCTCTTATTGTGCTTGACCATTGTATGAAGTTGTTTTGAATTCCAAACAGTAGTTTTCAAGTTATGCTCCTAACATGGAAGTAACAAAGGGCAATAACTCTGTAATTAGTCAAGATGGAGTTATGGTTCTTGTGCACTGCACTTCCTCTTATTGTGCTTGACCATTGTATGAAGTTATATTGCATTCCAACCATTAGTCTTCAAGTTATGGACCAGATCAAAGAAAGCTATGGAAAAGTAACAAAGGGTTATAACTCTGTAATTACTTAAGATAGATTTATGGTTCTTGTACACTGCACTTCCTCTTATTGTGCTTGACCATTGTATGAAGTTGTTTTGAATTCCAACCAGTAGCTTTCAAGTTATGCTCCGGACAAGGAAAATTAACAAAAGGCAATAACTCTGTAATTAGTCAAGATAGAGTTATGGTTCTTACGGACCTCTGGACTGATTTGACTCCTATATACACCCCCACCCCCAAACTTTGTTTTGGGGGTATAATTATTCATACAAACACGGACCTTAATTACCTGTGATACAAAATTCCCATTGAAGGTTGCAATTGAATAATAAGTAGATAGAACAGCTCTGCATTACACAATTAATGCATTGTAGTACTAATAGGGATGGGAGTGGGGATTCGCTTCGCTGCAGTGATGTGTTGTCAAACATTTTCAATTTTGTGTACTAGTATTTGGCTATCAACCAACTCAACATGTTGTTTAACGACTATTTATATAATCCTTTTAAATGAGTAAAGTACGTGTTAAACATACTCTACGATAGTCAAGGTTGCGTAATGTAATTCTTTTAATTAGTGATATCAATGCAAATTACATTTCTTGTTGGTGTGCTTATTTTATACTTGGCGCCGGAATGAAGCAATTGTCCGAGATTTATCAGCGTCCATGCCGGTGCACTGTAGAAGTCTCATTGAGGACCTCTTTTCAAGCCGAGTCTTCTGTAGCCTATTCTTCATTTGTTCGTGGGTGGAGGTACGACAAAACCGCCAAGGCATCACCTTTATGACGGCATCATAACAATAACGGCTCTTGTTAGCGCCACCTTCCCAAATTACATGCAAACTATCCTGTAACTTTAAGTCACCCAGCCTCGAACATGTTCTAAACTATATACTTAAACAAAATGCAGCAGTCAATTGCTTTTGTATTTGGAGGCAGGGAAGGCTTTGAGCCGCGAGTTTTAATCTTCCGTTTATGCAGTCAAAAATATATCCAACCGACATTATGAGGACATCTAGTGGGGACTCCCAAGATGTGGCCTTTATCAGGGCTTTGATTATCTGAGCGTTCTCGATATTGCATACAGTAAAAAAAACATTTCTACATATTCATCATCAGACATTTACAATCTTGACTCTGCAACACGGAGGGTAACAGAAGAAATTAATCTTTCATTTGTCCCGCACTGCCGGTCATTAAGCTGATTTACTTTTGTACCAAGATAGGATGGAATACAGCCTAACATGAATAGCGGGGTAGTGTCGATAGTGTTGCTGATTTAGCAATCTTATTGTAGAAATCCAATGCAATGTGTAACTATTGCTTTGCTGCCATAAAAAGATAAGGTGTTTTCCTATACCCTAGTCTACAATCTTGAGATCTGTGTATTATTTGATGTAGATTTTGACCAAAAAAAATGTGTGCAAATTTGCAGATCATGCTCTCAACCCGTTTTATCAGAATAATTATTTTTGCTGTGCAAAAATGACACAAAAATCAAAAGCGTTGCTCAAATCGGGCTTTGAATCACACAAAAAATTGATATTAATTTTAGTTCTGAATAAATTTCTCATCATTAAAGTGCTTCACATGATCTATGTAAGAATTTCAAATTATTAATTTGACCTCAGTGGAGTTTCTTTAACTTATATTTGACAATCTGTTGTGTCCTGCTTTTTTAAATTTTTTTTAGTATAAAAAAATCAAAAGCTTAACAGGCAATGAATAATTTGATGACTATCCTCTTTTTATCCACCAGTAAAGGCCTAAACATGCATTAGTAAAATACAAACATATTTCAGTTTTCACATACTCTATCTATTTACAAAATATTGTATACAATTTATAGTCAAAGACATAAATTTGCCATATTCACATTTTTTCCCTGTTTTAACAACTGAATATTCAATAAAATTTAAAATACAAATCCTATGTACATACTAAAAACTGATATTTTCTGTACATGATGTTTGGACTAAATGGATTTAGGACTCATGTATGCCAAACATTGTAAATCCAATACATCAACTGCTCCTGTTGTTTAAGATGCCAAGAAAGTTAAGATCTTAAATTACAGTAAAACAATATTCATATACATTATCATATTTTCACTGGACAAATAAAGCATAAAACAAAGAATTGGGACAGATTGTGGTCTAAATGGATAAGCAGGGTGGTCAGAATTTTGGATAATTTTACCATTGACCTAAAAAACTGAAATTCTGTTCTTTTAAAATCTATCTAATTCTAGGGCTTCCATTATTTGGGTAAAACATTTTGGACAATGAAAACAGGTGACACAATTTAAGTGTACTTTTAATGTACATGTATCAATTTCAGCTTATTACAGTGTATGTAATTTTAAATTTTCTTAATGAAGGATATTTTGTATGGTAGATTTCAACAATCTTTATCAAATTATTAACTGCTGAACAGTAATATTTTTAAATTGTTAATCTTTTTGACATTTTAAAAAAACATGACAATTCTAACTAAATTCACAAAGCCAATTATACAATTTACATACAATAATGAGATCTTTACATTTTCAGCAATAATTTAAAATCAAATATTATAATTAAAATGATAATTTAAAATGAAGTTACAGTATCAGTAAAGTACTTAAAATATGACCATATCGTTGAATGCCAGTAATGATATCAAATGCCTGCAATATACATGCAGTATGCCATGCACTGTAATCAAATGACCTTTAGGTATTCAAACACACTCAGTGTATTGGGAAGTATGCAAGATATCCCAAAATGCCGAACTTTATTCACAGGTAGGGGAAAATAACATTGTATTCTTGCAAATGGAGAAGAAAAAACATTGATGTAATTGAATTTCAGGGGAAAACTGCATGGTTTTAAAACTTTTCCTGGGGAACTGCCATTAAAGAAGAAAAAGCCCTGCATAAAGAAATTATGTGAATACAATGAAGGTACATGTATTATGACTGAATGCTTAATTGAATGAATAAGAAATCTAAAATCAATCCTTTCTTATACATTGACACCATTAAAGTCACATGGCTACTTTTCAGTCCTACTTGTGTAGGAAGACTTTAGGCATATTCCTGCACCTTAGCAAGAAATATCAACATTTCATAAGCTAGCAGGATGGCTTCCTGAAAAGGCTCAGATGCAAGTTAACAAAGCCTATGTCAAATTTTGAACCCAATGTCATGGGGGGGGGGGGAGAGGAGATGGCTGGGGGTCAAATGGTTCCAATAAAATTAATGTGGTAGTACAAAATAAAAGGCATTCTCAAAACAGCTTAACATTTGATAAATGTAGTATAGAATGTCACCAAGCATCAGTTCTCTTTCAAGACAGTACCAGACTGTTTCAATATATAAACAGTATCAATACAAATCATAACAGACTCAACCTTTTCCAGCATATTCAAATAAAATATATGTCACCTATATATAACACATGACTGATGACTTCATAAAATTTAGTTAAATAACAAGACTACATCAATCAATTTTTCTTTAAATTTCAGAACAATTCAAGTTGAACATCTATTCAGTAAGCTATAAATGAAAAGTTCATTCCCACAATCAAATGTATGAATTTTATAAAAATAATGAACATAAAATGTCTCTAAATTTCTCAGAAAAAGCCATTTGTAGCATCACTTTGTAAATTTGAATCAATTCTGGGATGTGGTCTCCAAAACTTTCAACTTCTTAATAACTACATTTTGTAACGGTAATGTGCCTTAACCTTTTCCCTTATATAAGCGTGTTTCGACGGCTTTTTGCCCCCCCCCCTTTTTGAGGCCTCAAACAGTGAAAAAATGCCCTATTTAGGCCCCAAACACTGTTTTTCATTTGAGAAATGCTGTTCAAAAAAGTGACAACTTTTTCGGGGCCGTCCCCCATCCAATATTATTACATCAGGGGGTTGCCAGAAGGGGGATGTGCCCCCTTCTGTTTGGGGGGTTTGAAGGGGGGCGGAGTCCCCCTCATCTCCAAGAAAATTTTGGACATGTGACAGGCTAAAAATGGCCTCAGGTCGATCTTAGAAAAGCCTTTTACTCTATCTCAATTCATTGAGAAGTTGCAGCACTTTGAACTCAGTTTTGATGGAAAAAAACAATGCAAAATAGTGATTTTTGGCAATTTTGAGACGTCCCCCCGTTGCCATGGTAACAGAAAACTTACCATTGAGCATGCTGTTACAGAGGCTATGGTGTAGTCAACATTTTTGCCAAGTTTCATTAGTATTGAAGCATTTTTCATACTTTCATAGCAGTTTGAACTTGTTACAGGAGGCTTTTCAGTGAAAATGGCCATTTTTCGCAATATGCTCATGGGGTAAAAGGTTAAATGAATCCATTATTGTATAAAAATAAACCCAATCAGTCACTCAAATTCTTTTGAGGAAAGAGAATTATATTAATATAATATACCGACTCTTCATTTCAATTATTCATATCAATTTATATTACAACAATTTCCTTTGCAAATACAAATTAAATCACATATTTTCATCTAGATCATACAAGTATACTTGTACACATATATAATACAACTCATCCTGTGCAATTTACTGAAATTTATTATCAGTGGAAGTAAAATGTTAGTTTCTTAGTAGTAGAAATTTTGGATCCTGTCATGAAGGCTGTACATTTTCAGCTATAGCAATTATATTATTATATACCGGTAAATGCTAAACATTCAACCTATCTTCAGTGACAGTGATAATGGGGCATCATTTTGTGCAATTACTGATCAGTAAAAATGCAAAATTAAAACAGCAAAAATGTCCTAATACACAAATAAGTAAATTTTTAGAGAATATTTTTTTGTTTTTAATCTTGTGAACTCTGGTGGAGATAAATTCTAGTTGTGAACTCTTTGGTCACTAAAATGAAATCTGAAAAGTCAGTTCTGGTACAAACAGTTAAAAGAGGGCACTACATGATTAAACAATTCCAATGCAAACTTAGAAAATATATATCAAATGTACTGACAGTCACTGTATTTAATACCTTTAGGCAATAAAAACTCAAACTTACTGTTGAAAGACAACAACTTTCATAAAAAAAATTCAATACAATACACTCAATGAACATTAAAGTGTTTGTATGTACTAGTTTCTTCAAAAATTAAATCTTCCCTTAATTGTTACATTTATCACTAAATGTTATGCAATCAAAATACAGGTTATTGTCAATGTGATATTATGATTGGACATCACGATGAATCACCAGACTCTACTTCTGCTGTGTTTGATTTATCATGTAACAGAACATATTCCCTTGAACTGAACCCAAATTTTAACACATCCTTTTCCATCAATTCAACATATCGCCTAGGTTCAATTTTCTTGTTATTTACAAAAGTGCCATTTGCCGAATCCAGGTCTATTATGTATGGGCATATTTTATGTGCTTTCCTGCCATCTTCCTTCTCATAGGGGATCATTCTATATTGATACACAGCATGTTGTTTTGAGCACGAAGGGTGATCTACTGGAATATCGGCAATTATTCGATCCCTCCCAAACAGGTATGCACTCTGGCGATGCATGTGAAAGGGTTTCAAAGCTTCATCATTTTTGAATGGGTACAGCCGCCATCTCTTTTTTGCCTTACGTGCCTCTGGTGGCTCATTGTATTTAATCACTACTCCTTTATAAGTGTTAGTATCTTCTGTTAGTTTCCCTGATAATTCAAAGTTTGGTTGGTCTTTTGACTCAGCAGCTTCATTCGTAGCTGCGTTATCACTCTGATCTTGACGGCCGTATCTCTGATGTTCTGACAGATGTTCTCTTTTTTGCCGATTATTACGTCTTTGTTGATCATTATGTCTCCTCTCTGCTCTTTGATGTCTCATCTCCTCCTCACTGTCTGGCTCCTGTTTAACTCTCACCATGCCCTCTTGTTTATTCCGATGCTCACGGTGTTCTCCATGATGTCTACCATGGTTACGCTCTATGTCTGTCACCCTTTCCCTCTTTGTGTGTTTCCTGTGTCGTCTATGTGACTCTGAATCTGATGACACTGGTTCTTCTTTTACCTTTACCCGGTGTCTTTCCACTTCTTCTAAACTTTCTGACCGACTTCTATGCCTATGATGTTTACGATGTCTTTTGTAAGAAACCTGAAAAAGGAAACATACATTAGCATTTCAATGCTTAATTCCTCTATCAAAATATTGCTAAAAGATATTAATTATAAATATTTTATAATAATTGTTTACAAACAAGCTTTCTAAATTGTGTGGATAAATAGAGGGTTAATGCATCATTTTTTTGTGCATTAACCACCACAGAAACACAAGAACACACTTAAAATCCACAGCCAAGGCGAGGGATTTAATCAGCCTACAGGCTTCTGCAGAAGTTATTGCATGAAAAAAAGTTGCATTCGCTCCATTCTCTCATAAAAGTAAATGTCTAATTTCTCTAAATCTATAATTCAGCATTTGGTTATGGAACTTATCTGTATTTTGTAAAAAGAATCCATTGCTTGTGCAATGCTTTCCATGTGCTAATTAGTCAGACTAATTGTAATACACACTGAGATTATATTATACAGCGATTTTTTTCCTTATAATTATAAGTGGTACCGAATAACGGACCCATTCACAATCACAAACAGTCTTCCACAATTTTCAGAATGGGTCCATCGGACCGGTTCACAATTCTGCAAAAATTCACAATCTACATAAATTTAATAAGCTTACAATTTCGCCTTTTTTACTGATTTTTTGTAATATAAGTGATTAAAATCTCAATTTGTCTTTGCGTTGATGTATTGTTTAAAATCAACAAGGGCAACATTGTCGCAATATACGACCTTCACAGAAGCTTTTGACAGAGATGTGGGCATTATAGATATACATATAGGAGATATTCTCTGGGCAATATCTGGAAAATATCTGGATATATTATCATCTCTAGTGATTTTTTTTATCTGAACTTTGACCCCTATGTGTGACCTTGACCACAGGGACCTTAATCTTGCATGTGACACTCTGCCTCACAATTTGTATGAAGTTTCATTAGAATCCTCCATAGTGTAGGAGATATGCTCTGGACAAAATCTCTATATTCTATCATCTTTAGTGACCTTGATAATCATCTTTAGTGACAATGACCTCGCGTATATTAACCTAAATTACATGTTTCACACCAGTAGTCATGATAATGACCATTTATGTTTCATTTCCTCAATTAATATCAATTAATGACTAAATGGTCCCAATACACATTTTCATTTTTTTCTCTGAACTTTTACCCCTATCAGTGACCTTGAACTTGGCTGCAAGGACCTAAATTTTCCTTGCAACACTACGTCTCACAAAAGTGAACATTTGTGCTAAGTTATATTGAAATCCCTCTTAGAAGTTTTGCTCCGGACAAGCGTTTTCCTATGACCTCTAAGTTTTACCTTGACCTTTGACCAAGAGACCTTGTTCATGTGCACTACACAGCTTCTCATAGTGGTGAACATTTGCATGAAGTTTCATTAGAATCCCTCCATATGTGTAGAAGATATGCTCTGGACAATATCTTGTGTCAGGTCCAGTGGCAGGTCACACTGTGGGACATGTCCTGACCCCCATGTGTCTTTGGGTACATTTACATCGCAATTTAATTTGTAGCACCCCGGTCACATATTCACGGAATACGCCCACGGAAGAGCCAAAGATTAATTTCGGCATCGTCCGTAGCTACCTGTACTGGTCAGTGGCTTTCCATATTGTAACTGTAATCAATCATAGTAGTCCTTGTATATCCGTAGCGATTCTTGACAATATTTGAACATGCACAAAAATTTGCTACAGAAAAAACAAACGTAGCATATCCCTACTAGTCTGTATTAAACAGTACTGATACTACAAGTCCGTACGTAAACCGTACTACTCCGTACTGATTCGTAGGCCTCCAACTTGTCCAGGATTTCCACGGTTTGGTGCGGAGAACTAAGTATTTGTACGGTTACCCTACGTATAAGCTATGGTCTTAATACAGATTAATACGGCATTGTCATGGAAAGCAACAATCGTAATATGTTGTTCTACAGAGAGGCAGGGATTAGCACGGTTTATTGTATTGCAACACGAAACAGTATGGAATGGTACTGTCCGCCACTGTCTAGTACGGATATAAATTAAGTATCATGTTCTTTTTCAAGGGTATAAATACTACCTTCTTGTTAAAAACAGACATATTTGCGTGAAAATTCAATAAATGATAATTGCCATTTACTGGCTGCAACTTTATATTGAAATGGCTCAGAATGCGGAGGCACTGGTCGAGCTGCTTGATGAGATGCAAAAAGTAACTAGAACTCCGCGAGTCGGATGTGTCGCCATGTGAACAATGTAGTTTAGGAGAAATAGCCAGGACAAAAATGAAATATGAAAAATAGCAATAACTAAAAAAATAATAAGTGCAGAGCAGCAGTTTCTGTGCACTGCACTTCTTATCAATAAGATCTATCATTCTATGATGTTTCAAGTCCATAGCTTTCATACTTGAGGAGAAATGACCAGGACAAAAATAAAGTAAGAAAATCAACAAAGGGCAATAACTCAAAAAATAAGAAATGCAGAGTATCAGTTCTTATGCACTGCACTTTTTCTTCATGAGATCTATCATCCTATGAAGTTTCAAGTCCATAACTTTTATACTTTCGGAGAAATGGCCTGGACAAAAATTAAGTATGAAAAATAACAAAGGGCCATAACTCAAAAATTAAGAAATGCAGAGTACCGATTCTTGTGCACTGCACTTCTTCTAATTGAGATTTATCATCCTATGAAGTTTCAAGTCCATAGCTTTTATTCTTAAGGAGAAATGGCCAGGACAAAATTAAAGTATGAAAATAAACAAAGGGCAATAACTCAAAAAATAAGAAATGCAGAGTAACTGTTCTTGTGCACTGCACTTCTTCTTAATGAGAGCTATCATCCTATGAAGTTTCAAGTCCATGGCTCTTATACATTAGGAGAAATAGCCCGGACAAAAACTAGAACTATCGCTGAATGCGATTCATACCCCCACCAATGTCCTTGACAGAAGACCACTTGGAAAGGTGGTTAAGGGAATAACTTATGTGGCACAAATACATAAAAAGAAATTATCTCTGGTGAAAAAAAGACCAATTGTACAGGTAATAGTATAAATATATATTATCAAATCATGTTCGAAACAGTTACAAATAACCTTTCATTTTCCCAATGTATTAAACATTTTATTTATAAGTCAATTTTTGACCTTCAAGTGTGGCCTTGACCTTAATCTGGCACAAGGGTAAGATGGGTTTTGCACATCACCCAGTTTGGTTGAACATTTGAGTAAAGACAAAGTTTGAAGAAAATCCTTCCAATAGTATAGAATTTATAGAGTAGACACAATATATTGTCTAGTATTGGTTGTATGTAAATTTGAAGACTTAAAAAGGGGCATAACTTTGTCAAAATGCAATACAGAATAATGAAACTTGACCTGCATATCTTATTTGCCACACCTCATATATCTTTTTTAAGTTTCAAGCAAATGCCTGCGCTAGTTTCAGAATTATTCAAGTACATGTTAAAATTTAAGAACATTTTCTAAGTCAATTTTTGACTTTCAAGTGTGACCTTGATATTTAGCCGGCACAAAGGTGACATGGATTCTGCACATAACCTTGTTGAGGTGAAAATTTGAGTAAAGTTTGAAGAAAATTCTTCCATTAGTATAGGATTTATAGAGCGGACACAACATATTGTCTAATATTTGATTGTATGTAAATTTGAAGACTTAAAAAGGGGCATAACTTTGGTAAAATGCAATACAGAGTTATGAAACTTGAACGAACAGCATATCGGAATTGTGACCCTTCAAAAATATTTAAAGTTTCCAGCAAATACCTTTTCCAGATTTAGAAATATTCAAATAAATGTTAAAATTTAAGAATATTTTCTAAGTCAATTTTTAAACCTTAAAGTGTGACCTTGACCTTAAGCCAGCAAAAGAGTGACATAAGTTCTGCACATCCCTTGGTTGAGATGAACATTTGAGCCAAGATTGAAGAAAATCTTTCAATTAATGTAGGACTTACAGAGCGGACATGACATACTGTGTAATATTAGATTGTTTGATATTTGACCTTCAATTGTGACCTTGACCATGAGCTGACACATGGGCAACATGGATTCTGCACATCCCTTGTTGAGGTGAATATTTGAGCCAAGTTGGAAGAAAATCTTTCAATTAGTGTAGGTCTTACAGAGCGGACACAACATACTGTGTAATATTTGATTGTTTGATATTTGACCTTCAATTGTGACCTTGACTTGAGCTGGCACATAGGCAACATGGGTTCTGCACATCCCCTTGTTGAGGTCAACATTTGAGCCAAGTTTGAAGAAAATCTTTCAAGAAGTGTAGGACTTACAGAGCGGACACGACATACTGTGTAATATTTAATTGTTTGATATTTGACCTTCAATTGTGACCTTGACCTTGAGCTGACACATGGGCGACATGGGTTCTGCACATCCCCTTGTTGAGGTGAACATTTGAGCCAAGTTTGAAGAAAATCTTTCAAGTAGTGTAGACTTACAGGAGCGGACACAACATACTGTGTAATATTTGATAGTGTTTGATATTTGACCTTGTGACCTTGAACCTTGAGCTGGCACATGGGCAACATGGGTTCTGCACATCCCCTTGTTGAGGTTAAACATTTGAGCCAAGTTTAGGAAGAAAATCTTTCAAGTAGTGTAGGACTTTACAGAGCGGACACAACATACTGTGTAATATTTAATTGTTTGATATTTGACCTTCAATTGTGACCTTGACCTTGAGCTGACACATGGGTGACATGGGTTCTGCAAATCCCCTGGTTGAGGTGAACATTTAAGCCAAGTTTGAAGAAAATCTTTCAAGTAGTGTAGGACTTACAGAGCGGACACGACATACTGTGTAATATTTGATAGTGTTTGATATTTGACCTTCAATTGTGACCTTGACCTTGAAATGACACATGGGCAATATGGGTTCTGCACATCCCCTTGTTGAGGTGAACATTTGAGCCAAGTTTGAAGAAAATCCTTCAATTGGTATAGGAGTTATAGAGCGGACACGAAAGTGGAGACGGACGGACGGACGGACCGACCGACGGACGGACCGACCGACCGACGCGACAAAGCGAATCCATTATGGCCCCCCCACATTTTGTGGTGGGGGTATAATAAAGTATGAAAATTAACAAAAGGCAATAACTCAAAAATTAGGAAGTGCAGAGTACCGGTTCTTGTGCACTGCACTTCTTCTTAATGAGATCTATCATCCTATGAAGTTTCAAGTCCATAGCTTTTTTAGTTGAAGAGAAATGGCCCGGACAAAATTAAAGTATGAAAATTAACAAAGGGCAATAACTCAAAAAATAAGAACTGCAGAGTACCGGTCCTTGTGCACTGCACTCAGGGTTATTGAAAGAAGCATGCATACCAAGTTTGAAGTCAATCAGACTTATAGTGACTGAGTTATGCTCCGGACAAGCTTTAGGGGACGCCGACAACGACGCCGCCGTTGACACAGACGCCGCCGAAAAGTAACCCCTTTATGTCACCTTTTCAAGGCGACACATAATAGCTTTCATACTTGAGGAGAAATGACCAGGACAAAAATAAAGTAAGAAAATCAACAAAGGGCAATAACTCAAACAAGATTGCATTTGTAAAAAATGCCATGCCACCGCATAAATACAACACTAAATAGTAATTAATGTAAGAACACATTTTTTTTTATTTCTATACAGATTGCCATAATGCATAGGTCACTTACCTATCTGTTATTATCAGATTAGTACCGACAACGACGCCGCCGACACAGACGCCGCCGAAAAGTATCCCCTATATGTCACCTTTTCAAGGCGACACAAAAATACACATGTATAATAATATCGTACTAGTTACAATTCATAAGTAATAGAATAACATTTAATGCTACATATTTTACAAACATTGGATCGTGAAATTGGAGTAAATATGTACATAAAACGAAGTGTCTCATAAGCCTCAGGCACTGGCCCTTGTGTGATAATAAGATTAATTAACAAGCTTTTTAAACATTCACGATAATTAATGTAATTGTAAAAGGAACAGCAAGTTTTAAAATCAAAAGAGAAGCAGTATTGATCAACATTTTTCATTAATGACTAATAGTCCATATCTAATCAGGTAATAGAAGACAGAGGAGATGGTGGACTAGAGATGGGCTTTTACGAAGACCCCTTCATGTCAAGCCATGAAATTCATTTTAATCGGACCCGATATGTCTCAGGGGTCGGACGCCATAGGCCGAATCCTCTCCGCCAAAATCATTGAACTCTGCAATTCGTTTTCTAGATGTTCTTTTCTTGTGAGGCATTTTGAAAATGAGCAAGCAAGAGGTTGTGGACGGAGCTAAATACTAAAATAGGTCTGTATAGATCAGTGGCAATTCGTTCTTCTCCGTATGAATTCGTTCTTCTCCGTATCAGATCGTATTTATTCGTACTAACCCATGCTTATGCCGTAGCAGACCATAGTGTATCCGTCAGTGACGGTCAGTAACAATCTGTGTCTTTTGGTGGTAAATCCGTTGAACTCCGTACTCATACCGTTGTGTGTTCGTACTGGAACTGTAGCGGACTACGGAATTTCACATTTCCGTAGTAATCTGTGAACGATAAGACCGAAGCTCTTCCGTGGCATTATCCGTGAATACAAACGTATGTGACTGGGGCATTATGCAAAGATTTAGATCCATGGTAGTGGAATAAACTAGAGTGTTAAAATGGCAGACTATTCCTCTCCATTTTTTTTCAATAGGTTAATACTGATTGATTAATATAATTTTTTAAATCATTAAATTATATAATTAAGAAAAAGGTAAATTTTATTATTATTACTAGTTTACTGTACTGGTTGGGGAGATAACTTCAGCTGGTTGATAAACTCGGCTTTTTATAATTTAATCAAATTATCAGATTTTCTAATCTAATCAAGCTCACCATCTCATACTATCGCTGGAATTCAACAATATCTGGAAATTTTGTCAAGTTTGGTAAGATATTTAAAGAATAACACAGACCTTTACCTGTTTGTTTACAAAACATGCCTATAAAAAGGACGAGATCCTCATTGTTGTGCGCATGCGCAATAGATGCTCATTTTGAGGCCCGCGCAGGGTTACTTTTATATATTGACCGACTACCGGTAAAGCACATGACGTTTACGGATACATTTTGTAGATGAAATTCAGAATCACTTTTGTCTTGCTAACTCAAAAAAAAAAATATTTACATTAAAATGATTTATATGTTACATAGTATGTTGCATATTAATATCGTGTTATCATAGATATTCATTATACTAACGTAATGCTCAACAATTTTGGTAACAAAATATTTTTTATTTGACATAAATGAATGAACAGCAAAGAAAAAATAAAATGTCTAAACATGTTATTTTACGTTTTAACTTACTCATTTAAGAAGAAAAACAAAGAGCCAGAATTATCTACTTGTGCGCGTTAAAAATATCCTTTTTATGTACCACTCCCAGGGCCTCTCAGAATTACGGTAGTCAGACTATTCTCTCCCTTACCAGTTCCTCCCCTGACGTTTCCTCCCTGGCGGTTCTCTCCCTATTTTGGGGGAGAACCGTCTGCATATTTTCAAATAAGCAGACAGTTCCTCCCATTCTTTATTTTTATTAATACATTATTATTGAAGTATTTAGATGTTTAATAAATGGATAAGTTTATTATTAAATTATAATATTAATTGATATAAATTAGAGGAAAAAAAATTCTATTGGAGTATTTAGATGTTTAATACATGGGCATGTTTATGATTAATTAATATAGATTAGATCTAGATAAAAAAATTTTTTTTTTAGCATATTTGTTTATTATTCTTGATTTTTTCATTAGATCTAACGTATACTTTTTAATGTGTTTAATTTACTTGATTAGGATAATCATTTGATATTTATTATTAGGTGAGGTTATTTTGTTGTTTGTTTTTTTTAATAAATAGAAAAAAAATATAAGAAAAAAATGATTTATAAATTTTAATTGCTAAATTTCATACTTTTGTGTTATGAAGAAAGGAGTTCAATACACATGTGCGTAAAGTTTGCTGTCAGAGATAATTAAGGTGTTTATTATTTTATTATTCAAGAATCAAGGTGTAATCTAACATAAAATAACTGTGAAAAGGTGATGATTAACAAATATTTCAAATTTGGGAGAGAACCGTCAGGGGAGGAAACGGTTTGGGAGAGAACCGTCAGGGAGAGGAACTTGTAAGGGAGAGAATAGTCTGTCATTCCAGAATTACCCGTTATGTTTCTAAATATAACTTTTATGGTGATACCGGAAAAATCGAAGAGCTAATGTTTATTATGGTGCAAGATTCATCAGAATACGTAAACAAATAAATGAAATATGCCCTAAAACACCGATTTTCGGCCGAGTTTATCTCCCAAACCAGTATACATTAAATTGGGGCGAAACGTCAGTGGGGCGAATCGCTATGCTTCACACATATTTATTTAACAATACATAAAATATCATAAAAAACTGACATATGTAGTTTAATGACAGTAATTTAACATCAAATATGTTTATTTGTGGACGTAAATCAATCTTATGTTATGAAATTGAAAATAACTTTTGTCTCGGGACCATAGGTAATCGGCGCGTTGATTGGTCACTACCCCCGCACCCCCCTCTAATATAATTTGATCATATTTATATGCGCAATACAATGAAATATGCATTCATTTTGAATAAACTGCCGTTTAGTCGGGTAATTTTGAAGAAAACCCAGCGGTCAGATCACTGTCGAGTTACACTTGCGGTGACTTCGAGATTACATATCTTCTTATAACTTGAAATGATTGTAATGACAACTTTAATTCCTTTAAGAGTAATCAATTCCCTACCATTTGGTACCAAAATATTGAAAATTGGTGAAAAAATGTTGAAGTTATGGAGTTCATATTAAGATGAGTGCTGAAAATTGAGCGGCGAGTTGCATACCTTTACTAAATATATATGTATCAATTTTTTATTTTTTGTAGGAAATGAAGGTTATTGAATTAAAAGCATAAACCAAATATTAAAACATGTTTCAAATGAAAAATACTGTATTTTACATGGTTTTGAGAGGTAGAAGGGCTGTAGAGTGGGTGTGGGGGTGAGGGGGTGCGCGGGTAGTGACCAATCAACGCGCCGATTACCTATGCTCGGGACGGAAGATAATCTGATAATTTAACCAAATTATTAAACAACGTAAACAAACCTCCGGACTTCGCGAACGATGCCTTCCATGGTGTTTCTTTCTTTCGTCAATGTCATTATCACTTGAAGAATATTTCCTGTAACGTTCTTTTACCATTGTTTTTTAACCAAACCTACGTTTTCGTTTCGTTCAACACTGTTAGCGAAAACGAGGCAGGATTTAACGAAAATTCGATTCGTACTCAAATATTTGGCACCCATTTACTTTCGCCCAGACAATGTAGTTTTGATGAAGTGGTGGTATTGATATAACATATCTGTCTTTTTTTTTTGGATAAAATGTACTGAATGTAATAATCTTAATAATTGCTTGTAATATGTCTATTTTTATGTTTTGGTGAAAATAAGATTATGTGTGTTATCTTTGATACTTTGATGTGTACTGTACGTAGTCTTAACTTTATAAAAGCTCTTCGTTAAATAAAGTGTTTATTATTATTATAATTATTATTATTATTATTATTATTATTTATTATTATTTATTATTTATTATTATTATTATTATAATTATTATTATTATTATTATTATTATTATTATTTTATTATTATTATTATTATTATTATTATTATTATTATTATTATTATTATTATTATATGCCTTTTTCACACACAGTCTTTCACATTATCAGAAATCTTCTTCCTCCAGATTAAGTGCCCCTCGGGAGCATCGTCGCACAACTGGGACTATTTACATTAGTGAAGGGAACACCAGTGCAGCTAAAACAGTTTAATCAAAGCACAGAAAGCGCTAAATTTGTTTGGGTCTCAGAATGTCAGAAAGGTGAAGGTTGTGAGATTATAAACCAATTTGTTTTTGTATAGTGCCACCAATGCTTTCCAGCGTTTTAATTGTAGTAAATTTGCCATAAGACTAAAATTGCAACACTGATGTTCAATTCAATGTTTATTTGACTAAAACAATTTGGGGAACAAGAGCTGTCAGTAGGACAGCAACGTTCGACTATTCTTAGTGCTTGATAGTAAAAAAAATGCTTGATACAGTTACCTCCTCCTGTTTACAGGTTGGGGTCATGATGGTGAACAAGTGTGCAAAGTTTCAAAGCCATATGTCAATGGACTTTGAAAATATTTGAACTATTACAAAAACTTTAACATAAATTCTAAGTCGAAAAAGGGGCATAATTCTGTCAAAATGCTTGATAGAGTTACCTCCTCCTGTTTACAGGTTGGGGTCATGATGTTGAACAAGTGTGCAAAGTTTCAAAGCCATATGTCAATGGACTTTGAAAATATTTGAACTATTACAAAACCTTTAACATAAATTCTAAGTCGAAAAAGGGGCATAATTCTGTCAAAATGCTTGATAGAGTTACCGCCTCCTGTTTACAGGTTGGGGTCATGATGTTGAACAAGTGTGCAAAGTTTCAAAGCTATATGTCAATGGACTTTGAAAATATTTGAACTATTACAAAAACTTTAACGTAAATTCTAAGTCGAAAAAGGGGCATAATTCTGTCAAAATGCTTGATAGAGTTACCGCCTCCTGTCTACAGGTTGGGGTCATGATGGTGAACAAGTGTGCAAAGTTTCAAAGCCATATGTCAATGGACTTTGAAAATATTTGAACTATTACAAAAACTTTAACATAAATTCTAAGTCGAAAAAGGGGCATAATTCTCTCAAAATGCTTGATAGAGTTACCTTCTCCTGTCTACAGGTTGGGGTCACGATGGTGAACAAGTGTGCTAAGTTTCAAAGCCATATGTCAATGGACTTTGAAAATATTTGAACTATTACAAAAACTTTAACATAAGTGGTTACGCCGACGCCGACGCCGACGCTCGGGTGACTGCAATAGCTCTACTTATTCTTATCGAATAGTCGAGCTAAAAAGTGAGTTGCGTTATCTGGGATTTGAACTCTAGACCTCTCGCTTCCTAAGCGGGCGCACAATCACCTCGGCCACGGTGAAGTTATATGTTTATGGCCTGAAGAAAAACCATATTTTTTCTAAATTAAGGTTTGTAACCCTTATTATTTCGACGCTAACTGTTGTTAAACACAGATGTAAATAATCATGGAGCTTACTATATAGAGGATATTTTTTAGTTCAGTGTAAGATCGGAATATATTTCACCGAGTGAGCACCAAAAGGTATATTTCACGAGTGGCGCAGCCACGAGTGAAATATGAACTTTTGGTGTTCACAAGGTGAAATATATTTCGATCTTACACTAAACTAAACAAATTTTCTTTTTATTATATGCAAATAAACGTTTTAAAAAGACATTAAATCTAATACTGAATGAAAAGCGCGCCAAATTATAATACAACGTGACGTCATTTACGACGTCACGTCATCAAGTTGGTACCCAGTACTGTGCACGCTGATATTTCCCTGAAACAACGTAAGGGGCTTAAATTCAAAACAGTGAAATTATCAAAGTGGTAATTTCACTGTTTCAAACAGTGAAATTACCAGTTTTATATCACTGATATATTTCTATAAACCACCGAAAAGCATGTAATAAAAGCATGTATATCTATAAAGAATAAAACAATATTATAAATCTTCGATCATTCGGGAACTATTTTGCTTGAAAATTAATGCGCCTGTCATTTGACCATCTTTACGCAGTGATCTCCCCTGATTTTTTCAGCGTTAGTGTACATTTAAAGGGAATTAACCGCTTCAAAAAAGCGGACTACTTTCGGCATTTGCAATTAACAGCATCAGGGTCTGAAATTTCGCTACCATTATTTGTTTGGTCTGACGACCCAAACAAATAAAAACATATTGCTCCAGTGTCACTGTGTAGCCCCCCACCCCCTCCCCCCATGCAAGGTTGTCTTGAAGAACCTAGAGATGGGGCTGACATAACTTTTTCTGGGGCTGTTCCTCATTTTGATCCCAGAAAAAAAGAGTATATTTATAACACTTAACGCAAGTATAAGGGTGAATACATGTATGTATTGACATCAACAGAAATCAGTGTATGTGATCGGATGTCAACCAGGTTGTTGATGACCCTGTACGTATGTACACCATCACTGCCTTCGCTTGTTGACGACGACTCTAGAGTATCTCAGCACAATGCTGGCATCATTGTAGTGACTGGCACTGCTGGTGTGACGATATTTACCTGCGCAGAATCTGGCTGCTCTTCGTTGGCAGTTGTCGAGATTGTTGATGTTGGCTATTTGTGTGGGTTCCATATTGCTTTTGTTAAATTTCATAAACTCCCATTTTATGTTTGAGAAATATGTTAAACTGTAATTTAAAAGTTTCTGGGACATTTTTCGGCATATAAAGATGTTAAAACTATTAGCATGACAGAATGGTTAACATTGCTTGCATTGTGACAGTTGTAATTCACAAAATGTTGATGAGGTGCATGTTGAATACAAAATTACAAATGTACACTGTCTAGCCACAGCCCCAGAGGAGCTGGTAGGATATTTGAACCTATGCGCTTGTTATAGTTATTGGCACCAGTTTCTTGCGAAAGTGAAGGCAATTAACAATAATTGACAGCATGCCCACGATTTTTTTGATTTTTTAACTTTATTTGAAAAAAAAGCGTAGAAGGAAAAAGCCAACAACAATAAGTTTCATGTAAAATTGATATAGACTGATAAAAAAATGTGGGATACTATTTATTTTACCCTTTACCGCATATTGTGAAAAATGGCCGTTTTCATTGAAAAGCCTCGTGTTACAAGTTCAAACTGCTATGAAACTATGAAAAATGCTTCAGTGCTGATGAAACTTGGCACAAATGTTGACTAGACCATAGCCTCTGTAACAGCATGCTCAATCTTTCATTTCCTGTTACCATACCAACAGGGGACGTCACAAAATTGCCAAAAATCACTATTTTTCTTTTTTTTTTCTCCATCGAAACTGATTTCAAAGTGCTGCAACTTCTCAATGGATTGAGATAGAGTTAAAGGCTTTTCAGCGTTGGTTACACGTTACCTTAAGATCGACCTGATGCCATTTTTAGCCTGTCCAAAATGTTCTTGGCGATGAGGGGGGGGGGGGGCTGCCACCCCCTTCAAACACCCGAAACAGAAGGGACAACCCCTTGATGTACCTGATAGGGGCGGCGCCGAAAAAGTGATCACTTTTTATCAAAATTTCTCAAAGGAAAACGTGTGTTTGCGGCCTAAACAGGACATTTTTTCACTATTTGAGGCCTAAAAGGGGATGAAAGTGCGTTGTTTTGCGTATATATGAGGTAAAAGGTTAAAACAAATGGAGTAAAATTCTAAGATTATTAAATAAACGAAATTACAATGGTATTTCTTGCAAGCTTAAACAATTCCATGCCATTATGTGTGCCATGTATTACGATTAAATGCACCTGGTTATTTGGACGTACGTGTTTATAATACATAGATAAATATATATGTCTAACTATTTCACTACAGACATGCCTCCTTTTCAGTAAATGTACGGGAATATAAAAATGTAAGAAAAGCTAGAAAGCTTTGAAAAAAATAGTATATAGCTCAACTAAGAAAAGCGGCGTCCATTTCAACGTTTATGCGGAATGTACCCACACAAACATGCCATAAGCAGGAATTAAGGTACAAAGGGCGGAGCAGGGAATAGGGAAGAAAATGAAATTTAAAAAGGAAAATAGATTAGATAATTAGGTACATGTTTTCATATGAAAAACTTAGAATGAAACATATTTATTGTCTTTTACTTATCTCATATATATAATCATTTCAAAATTTAATAGAAAACCAATGTCAGTGGTCCATTTATTGTGTTATCGAAAGAATCGGATTCTGTTCGGACGCAGATGTCAATCCTAGAATGACCCTTGTGATAAAAGGCACTTCCGGTGTCCCTGACCTATAAGTAATATAGAATGTTAGATATATCAAGCTTTTGAAGTAAATATGTCATAACTGTATTATAAACACAGTATAGCTAGAGATCAAATTAATACGGCAGCAAAGAATTCTATATTCTACAATATAATTATGTATTCTACATTATCATACAAGTTAAAAAAGATCTGTTTATCAAAATCAATTTTTAAGAAAGATATCTGGATTTTTTTGTCTGTTTTCCTGTTATTAAGTGTTTCTCAAATGTGACTTATTTGCCATTTACCTGAAACATCTTTTGCCTCTGTTGCCTTTTGATAATTAGTAGTACATTAATTGTGACTTTGTTTTTTGTATGAAAGTCAAAATACTACTTTATTTACATTTTACTACTTTAATGACAAATAATTGCACATTCATCGTTCCTTTCTTCATGTGATAAGCATCTGAAAGCACTAGAAGCATTACTTAAACTTAAAATATCATATTTGCTCTTTCTAAAGAAGGAAAATACTCTATTCTGAGGCTTAATGTGTATTTAAATGCAGGGATCTATGGCTGCAGAAGTATTTTCAATGTCTTCTGTACAGAGAAGCAGACTCACCAGAAGTATTTATCTACTCACATTTGTGAAGAAGGTACTTCGAATGAAATCATAAGATTTCTTACCCTGAAGTCAATGAACCTTCCATACCGATGATTCATTTCCGGTATGCACACTGGTGTGTCGTAAGCAATTCCGGCATGGTTATCCATAGCAACAGTAACTATGTTAGAGTGTCCAGCAAGGTAATCCTGGAATCAGAATTTCTTCAATATCAGCCAATAAATGAAGTAAGACTTTACTTTTCTATAGACTTTTACTGTTCCTTTGATCAAACTATGAATTCAGCGAAGATCAAAATAAATAAAGTGTTTTAAATATTTGCTCAGCGGCTGCTCTCATGCAAAATGTATGATTTATTTGAAATTTCAAGACAGAAGATAAGGTAATCGTCACAATACCTGAAGCGTTCCAAGCTTATGTCCCCGCATATCCACAAACCCGCCTTCTATCGCACTGCTGCTCGGATAATACCCGGTGCCTGTAGCAGAATACCGTGTGCCACCGGTGCAGTCAATATTGCCTAAATAGATAGATCTATATGATTGATTTACTGTTTTAATCTGCATTATCAAAAATACACGTTTGCTATGCCTTATGTTTTCCTCAATAGAGTGTATGGAAAGATTTTTTCTTGAAAAAGCGGACAGACTTTGGGTGTCTATACATAGACTGACATCTTATGAAATATTGGCAAACATTTCAAGCATCAAAGTTTGTTCAAAATTCTTTTCCGGAACTTTTGTTGAACAACTTTTATTTATATTGCGAGCATAACAAATAAACCAACAAGCACGCACCTCTAGGTGTGCAGCATCGTCTGGAAGCATGTCCAGAGCACATGTTGCTGACGTAACTTCCGGCGCAATGGAGGTTGTCTTCCTGACATGTCCCATGATGAGCAAGACATCTTGAATCATCGGCCGCTGTCAGATAAAATAAAATGTTACAATGATTTCTTGTGCTCAAACATATTCCATAGAATCATTCCATAATTTCCTAACCCCACCACTCGAATTTATAACACTTTACTTTGGGAGTATTTATGCCTTCAAGAGGGTTCATTATTACTTTTTGAACAATGGTAATGTTATCTTAATTCGAGACACACACTTCGGTTTTCATTGCATTAAAAGAAAAGGTATACAATGTATTTAAAGTAGTGGTGAGAAGGCGATGACACAAGGGTGAAAATTTTATGTCGATGGTACGATGGTGAAAAGGCGATATCATGCACGATGGTGAAAAGGTGATGGCACGATGGTGAAAACGCGATAACATAATGGTGAAAACGCGATGGAACGATGGTGAAGTTGCAGTGGTACAATGGTGAAAAACACGATGGTACGATGGTGAAATTGCAATGGTACGATGGTGAAAACGCAATGGTATGATTGTCAAAACACGATGGTGAAAACGCGATGGAACGATGGTGAAATCGCATTGGTACGATGATGCGCGTTTTCATCATCGTACAGTACTATCGCAATTGCACCATCATACTATCGTGATTTCACCATCGTGTCATCGTGCCATTGTGTTTTCACCATTGTAACATCGTTCATTGCTGGTAAGGGTAAAATAAAAAGTATTGATTGTCCAAACGGAACACCGTGGATTCAGGAAAAATTAAATCATTTAAATACAAAGTGTAAAATGCGGTAAACGACCAGGATATAAGAATTAAGTAGTTATTTCATCAGTTAAATAAAATAGCCCACCTATCGTATGTATAAGAATACCGACGAGGAGAACGAGCGTTTCAAATTTCATGTTGATCACTTTTCTATGTCGAATAATACATATGTATATATACGTTCCTTATCTTAATTGGGTCATTGTATATGAGGGAACATTTTATCTTATAAACGTGTCTAGTATATTTGATTTATATTTTGCGCCGTTTAAGAAAACGACTCTTGCAAATATTACGTGACAAACAACGCAGTTTTTAAATTTGAAGTCATTTATAGGTATAAAACGGTTTCACGTACAATCTGTTACTTCGGAACCATTGATTGTTGAAGATTGACTTGCTCAGTGGCCGGAGAGATGTTGCACGTACTTGCTCAGTGGTCGGAGAGATGTTGCACGTACTTGCTCAGTGGCCGGAGAGATGTTGCACGTACTTGCTCAGTGGCCGGAGAGATGTTGCACGTACTTGCTCAGTGGCCGGAGAGATGTTGCACGTACTTGCTCAGTGGCCGGAGAGATGTTGCACGTACTTTGCATTATCTTTCATGAGTGGCCGGAGAGATGTTGCACGTACTTTGCATTATCTTTCATGAGTGGCCGGAGAGATGTTGCACGTACTTTGCATTATCTTTCATGAGTGGCCGGAGAGATGTTGCACGTACTTTGCATTATCTTTCATGAGTGGCCGGAGAGATGTTGCACGTACTTTGCATTATCTTTCATGAACAGACTCAATCAAAACTGAAGTCTGAATTTTTTTACTTTTGTTTCCGGGGTTCTCGAATGATCTCGTATTAAATTATTCCTGTTATGCATTTGCGAAATTCTCATCACAAATGGTCGACCATGGTTGGCAATTTCACAGAACAAAGCTCGCCATACAGCTAGTTTGCCGACGGATAGTTAGTAGGGGTATACATATGTGTTAGCCTTTGACCTTTACAAAACAGTACTCTGGCTGTTTATTAGATCCATAAGACAGACTACTATATACTTATCAATTCAATCATTATATGAGTATTGTATTTCTTGATCATTGGTCATTGATTGAACTGGTAAAGTTTAATATCTATACATGAACGTACGTGCAGAAAACAGGAACGACGACCATGACCTTTTGTTTTTTTATTCTAAGATTTTTGTTGTTGTTGTTGTTGTTGTTTGTGTGTGTTGTTGTTGTTGTTGTTGTTGTTGTTTGTGTTGCTGTTGCTGTTGTTTGTGTGGTGGTGGTGGTGTTGTTGTTTGTGTTGTTGATTTTGTGTTTTGTTTTTTTTGTTCGTGTGTTGTTGTTGTTGTTGTTGTTGTTGTTGGTTTCAATGAAGGACTGGTAGAGAAAAGTTATTGTATATGATAATTATGGCGAAATATTAACGAAGATCATTTTACTTTTTATTATATTATCATTATGGCAATTTTATAATATAAAGCCTAATAAATCTATACTATACACGCTTTAGAATATTAAATAAAAACAAATAAAGTCAGTTTAAAGAAAGAAAATAAACAGTCTTGCTTGTGGAATTTGACCGCTTACGAACCATATAACAGGACGAGGAACTGATAGCGAACAGCATGGATCCTGATCAGACTGCGCGGATGCGCAGGCTGGTCTGGATCCATGCTGATCGCAAACCCATTATGTTGGTTTTGTCGTGACGCGGCTCATTTGAACCTTCAATACTCAAATGAATCCAAATTGTCAATCTCGGAAGCAGTTTTGAGTTGATTATATCTGATCCTATCTAAATAACGGAAATAAATTTAAACTGAAATATCTGTGTACATCCTATAATAGTGAGTTTAAACACTTAAATGGTGAATGTCAATCAATCTTTAATATAAATATACTTGCGATTAACCAATGTTTAACTTACATAAATGTTTATTTATATCACTATAATTATGAAATACTTTTATGTAGCATCAGTCATTCTTCAAACACTAATCGTTGCTAAACAAAATGTAGCGCCATATATAGTTAACCTTGTTCGTAAAGAATTCATTTTATATTTAAATATTTCATGAACTGCAATCAATTACAACTGTTCATGCACATCAGATAAAGTGTAAATTAAAACAGTTTTGCAGAATGAGTATATTAAATTAAAGTGTAATGTTCACAACACACATAGCGGTAATCTAATCTGATCGCTGGGTAAATAAATATCATGTCACATGTGCGAAACTAGTACACATAGTTTAAAAGTATGATTTAAATTACCATGGATGTATAAGGATTTTGACTATGGGTAAGTACTTTCAATTGTGCAATTTTTGAATAGTTTGCAAATGTTAAATATATAATTAACTGTGAAGAGGTGGTTGTCCAGCTAGGTTGTTCAGTTATAGACTAAAAGTATAATTTTTCATCTGATGTGTGCAGATATGCATGAAATAATGCTGGGTTGGACACATTTAGGCTTTCGATACGAGTTTCTCTTGTTGAGTTTAATGTTGCGTCGATAGCGTCAAGGTCATATGAAGACCCGTGCTATAACCATCGGCCGTCTGTGAGCTAGCTGGACACATTCATCAGATGAAAGAATCCAAAGTCCCTGACGCGATTCGAACCCACAGAGACGCAAGTGGTTTGAAGTTAGCTTCCCTAACTACTCGGCAATGCAGGCCCCCTCCGCTATCAGTAACATTTGGAGAGTCGGTGTACGACTATAAGTGACCTTTAACCCAAGAAATAAAGGCGCATATCATTATTATATTCTAAGCGTACAAGTAACGTAAACTGCATTAATTAGTAATCATTATGTATGTGATTTATTCGTAAAATAATCACTTCAACACGACACTACATGAAAATCCTGTTAACTAGATATTATCGTCTAGACAAATGAGTCAAACTTTAATACGATATAAATATTTCATGTCGTCAAAACAAGTTGTTTGAGAGAGGTCCTATTAGTCTGTCTCTCTTTGGTAACGGAAATTTGACCTTAACCTTCCAATCACGTAGTCACGGTGAAATTTTCAACAACAAAAATAAAAAAGGAGTTTTTTTTATCATTTCTTTGTTATCTTTTAACAGTTCTGATTTAACTCGAATAACTAAACACATATTGAACAAGTAAGAACAAGTTCAACCGTTTGAAGTACAGTCGGAAGGAGGATGGGAGGGTTTTTGTTTAATAAAATCACGTACTTACAGAAAATCAATTTGTTTGATAGTGATTTTTGTCTCCAACTTTCATTGAAAATAAATATTCATGTTGAGGGAATATCAGCGAAAAAAGTATTTGAAGTATTTGTTTCATGATATCTTTATAATTTTCTGTCTTATTATGATTTTGTTATAACAGTATAAAATTTAAAAATGTGTATTGTCTGATCCTAAATAGAACATGAGAGCTTTGAGTTTTATCGTGTATGTCTAAGTGCGTGAGTATGTCTAGGTCTACGAGTATGTCTAGGTCTCCGAGTATGCTAAGGCTCATGTGTATGTCAAGGTCTACGAGTATGTCTAGGTCCCCGAGTATGCTAAGGTTCATTTGTATGTCAAGGTCTACGAGTATGTCTAGGTCCCCGAGTATGCTAAGGTTCATGTGTATGTCAAGGTCTACGAGTATGTCTAGGTCCCCGAGTATGCTAAGGTTCATGTGTATGTCAAGGTCTACGAGTATGTCTAGGTCCCCGAGTATGCTAAGGTTCATGTGTATGTCAAGGTCTACGAGTATGTCTAGGTCCTCGAGTGTGCTAAGGTTCATGTGTATGTCAAGGTCTACGAGTATGTCTAGGTATGTGAGTATGACAAGGCCTGTAAGCATCCCCAGGTCCGGGAGTGTGTCTAGGTCTTTGAGTATTTTTAGGGGTGTAATAAATGCTACGCCCGTAACAATTGCTAGACCCATGACTACGTCTAGGCCCGTGAGTATGTCGATGTATGTAAGTTTGTCTATGTATTTGAGTATGTCTAGGTATGTGAGTATATTTAGGCCAGTTCAAACATTTAGGTTCGTAAGTATGTCTAGCTCCGTTGGTATGTCTTAATCTACAACGCCTAGGCCTGTGAGTATGTCCAGGCTTGTAGTGTGTAGGTCCGTGAGTATACAATCTATCAATATTGGCGGATATGTCTAGGCCCGTGAGTATGTCTAGGTCTGAGAGTGTGTCAAGATTGGTATGTCTAGGAATGGGAGTATATATAGGTCCATGGTCACTTCTAGGCCCGTGAGTATTAGGCTTGTGAGTGTGTCATGGTCCGTTAGTTTGTCTAGCCTAATTTTTATGTTTAGGCTGTAGAATATGTCATGGTCCGTAAGTATGTCCAAGCTAAGTTTTATTTTAGGCTGTTGAATATGTCATGGTTCGTTAGTATGTTTAGGCTGATTATTATGTTTAAACATAATAATGAGTATGAAATGGGACGTCCGTGGCCGAGTGGTTAAGGTCGTTGACTTCGAACCAATTGCCCCTCGCCGCTGTGGGTTCGAATCCCGACAGGGACTTTAATTGGATTCTTTCATGTGAGGAAGTATGAAAATGTAGAAAAACTATAGACACACCAATGGACCTCGGTACATATTCACGGACCATGTCATACTCAAGAGCCTAAACATACTTACTGAACTAGACATACTCATGGGCCTATATATATATGACATACGAAAATAGAAAATAATATGTTTCTTCTGTGTAATAAATTTTGCTCATATGTCTGAGGGGAATCGTACCGTTTTTAAACTTGTGATTCCTTGTAATTTCATGAATTCCTCTGCGTGGAAATAACTGATAAACAATGCAATATTGTTTCTTAAATGCATTGTCACAATTATATGTTTAATTATCATTTTATATATACTTTGCAGGTGTCATTGTTCATTATTTTCTGGTCGTCGCTTTGATCATCACTGGGCAACTTACGTGTTATGATGCGCGCGACACTCCCGGAAATAAAGAATTGACGGTTACATATTATTCATTATAAAATACCGTATTTTATTACATTTATGTTAATTTTTAGAAATTATACATCAACAAACATGATATTCTAAAATGCGAGGTTGACAATAGAAAACAATGCTTTACCACTCGACATCGATCTAAGACCAACACCTATTCTTTTACACAATATTTGTTTTCTATTACATTAAAGGTTATTTTTTGTTTGAACTTTTAAGTTGTATGACCGATGAATATGACAATAGCCATTGTAAATAGAATATACAATGTACCTTTAGCTGGTGATATATACTTTTAAAATTTCGAAAATTATTGTCATAACTGGATCTAAGTTTTAACGAAAGCGTGTCTGTTAACGCACATGAATTTATATAATTAAGAGTTCCGTTTTAGGGGCGGCTTCTTGAGTTCATGCGTCACCGCTGAACAAACGGTATTATTGAATTTAGGTTTTTAGAATGTAATCAATTCACAAACAAATATACTACCGATAAAAATAATAGCTCAATTTCTAATAAAATAAAACTTTTATTCTTTTATTGCAGGCAAAACCTGGAATTATCCTGGACAAAGACTCAGCGTTAACAGCCAATGACAACATAAAATCAACACTATTACCTTTAAAATCATCTGACGCCCTAAAAACTACGACATTAGCTACCCCCGGGGTAGTTACTGTTACTGCCCCGCCCATACCGTCACCAGCAACAGCGTCACCTGGTGGAAACGATGTTTCTAAAATCATAAACTTATTGTTTGCAATCCTGTAAGTATGTCACTGCATGAACATTATGACTATAGTAATAGAAATGTACATTTGTTGCTTTTGTGTTAAAGCTGCCGCAAACAGCTTAAGTGTATAGAATTAAGAAATCTTTAAGTCGAGTTTAAGACATATATACAGAGGATATTTAATGCGCGTAGGTTAACAATTGAATTTATTGAACGAGTTGGATAAAATTATATTATGTGAGCCTCTGGTGAGCAAAATATTATTTAATTCAACTATTCAATTAATTTTATATTAAATATACACTCATTTAATATCCTCTATGTATAAAGTATATATTCGCAATTCATATACTACTTAAGAGGTGATATGCAAAATATAACTTAAAATACTAATTTTATCATCGTATTTCTACTCTGTAACGGTAAACGAACTATTTTTGCATATACTTAAACTTTTATGTAATTTTTGTGAAGTGAAAATTCCTGAATGCATTTATGCTAAGTATTTTTGTCGACTTGAAAATAAAGCATTTTCTGTTGACTTTATAAAATAGCATGCTTTTTGGAGTCGTACAGCTTTAAACTTCCTTTGTTTTTGTACACAATATTTTTTGTAACAATTTGTAGAACATTGGCTTCAAAGTTATTCAAATATTATTGCAAGGTTTCTTTGTTTTGTTTTGTTGGATTTTAAGTCACACTGTAAAGGTTACAAGGTGATATTCTTGCAATCTTTTCCCGTGGAGGAAGACCTGAGGAGCCCTAGCTCCGTGCACTATTTCAGGCACGAATGTGTACTTAAGTAGGGCCAATGAGTTTCCGTTAGCTAGCCGGATAGCTAACTCTCATGAAATGAATTCCTTTCCATTAGTGAAGGTGGAAAGATTACACAATTGTGACCACTGCAGGGTCGGTGTGACCTAAAAAACGAATTCGAATTGATTAACGTTCTGCGAAATATATTTATTATGAAATTATTATGCGTATTGCACTTTGTTGCATGCAAAACAGATATATATGTGTAATTATTTGATTCTCTTATCTGTTTTAAGTACAACTTTTATGCTTTTATAATGATAATTTTGGCATATTAATTCCCTATTACATGTACAGTTTAACGACATTAAAATTCATTTCAAATTTAAATACATCTAACAAAATCGTCGTGCAAATCCAAGGTAATATCATCTTTGAAAAAAAGACTTGTCTGGAAAAAAAGATAAATTAATAAAGGCCCATAAAGCCCTTAAAAGTTTTTGTTTTGTTTTTATTTCCAATTTTTGTATATATTTTTTCCCTGTTATAGTTTGATAAAAGTTACTCTTTGGCCATATGAATGAACCATCTTAGCTCCTGTTGCTTTTTGATAATTAGTAACGTTATTATGATTTAGAATTTTGAAAAGATGTCAAAATATCAGCTTTATTTTGCTACTTTGAATACAAATTATATTACATTCTGGTCACTTAATCAGATGGCAGGCAATATATTATTAAAATACTATTAAACACATGTTTGCCTTTTTTAAAGAAGAAAAAGAATCATTTCTACGGCTTTATGTGCCTATAATGTTACATAAAACTATTATTTTCTTCAGCTTGGCAGTCACGGCAATTTTGATGGCGATCACTGGAGCATGTATGTTCGGACTTCGACGACGATATCTGTTTGTATCAAACCATTCAAAATACAAACAACTGGAGGAAATGCCTATCTGAGACAATGACACGAATCTATGTTTCAACTGTGAACAAAACAACAACAGCAAAATCAACAACAAAACTGATATATTAATGACAGTCTCTTTTTAAAACGAGTCACAGGAAATTGAAAAATAAATATCTTTTTATGTAATGGTAGTTCATTGATCACAGCATTTGTGCATACGTTTTTGTTTGTAAGGATCTTCTTATAGATTGTTATTTTGTTTTGTTGGAACTCATAGAGCTCGGAAAATAAACTTTGAAGTATTAAAACTTGCATGTTGTTATTTATGTTATGGTGATTAGTTAAGGGGAAACGCGGGGTGAATAGCAAATATATATTACAGTATATGTCATCATACATCATTTACGTAGAACCGATTTGTGATATTATTCAAGAAGACATATATATACGAGAGTTTTTTTGTTATGAATTTCACATATTATCATTTTGTATATCAGACTTTCTATTGCGATTTGTGTGAAGATATCACGCAAGACGTATCGTACATAATCAAACCACCAAAAGAACATGCTTAGGCGGTTGGCGCGGCAAAACATATCTTCTTTTGGACTTGATGTTATTGAAAACTATACGCATAATAACAAAAACGACTTCGGTTAACATTTAAGTATTCCGTGATATACTTCTACTACTACATACATGTACCTCCTTTCATCTAGAATGAACATTAATTTTATTTCTGTCCAATACTGATTTGTTTTCAGCAGAAAATGACCCGTGCTTGTATAAAAAGGGTACAATTTTAATTTTCACAAATAGGGTGCCGACGGTGAAACAAATAGGAACTACATTTCTCCTATTTTTCAGTGTGTACGCCGTCATGGGTGGCGTGACACAAAAAGTCATCTACTATAGTGAAGTTTGACAAACAAAATTAAGACATAATAAATAAATGAAAATATTCTTTAACAACCACTATTGTGAACATTTTTGTCTACTTATTCGTCGAAAAGTTTTCTCGCAAATGAAGCAATGTTCACCTTTTAACTTTTTTCAAAACGAATTAAATAAATCGTTACACACTGTGTATAAAAGGGGTTACGTCAATATAGTGTTTCGAGTGGCGCTATATATTACACTTACAATTGAGATGGAGCTTGGAGTTACAGAAATGATGTTTTGTTATTTAATTTTTGTTTTTGGTGCAGCGTATTGCTACAATTTTCGGAATAATGATACATGCCTCAATTTTCATGTCACCAGTTTTAATACTTGTGTTGGCAGCTCGGATAGTATTAAATTAACCCCCATATCAAGACTATCTTTGTACGAGTGCGTGTCTCAGTGTGCAGTAAGAGGAAATTGTGCCGGGCTTATTTACAGAAGAAAGAATTTATTTTGCCAACTTTTTAAAGACTTAAATAGTACACAGGAGGCAAAAGGCGATTGTGTTTATATAAAACGCAGTGATATTTTCACGGTAAGTATGTTATGTGTTGGATTGTGTTGAATAAATACATGCATGCAGAGGGTATTAAATGAGTATATATACGGGTTGTGTAAAATTTTGTGCTTCCAGTCAGTCAACGAGTTAAATATTTCAGTAATAAAGTTATACGAAAAAAATGTTTCTCGTTGACTATAGTTCATTCCAAATGCGCTAAAATGACGTCATTTTATAGCAAGCGATTCATCTAGCACCCCATCACCGGATCCCCAGATGAAATTTCCGGCATGGGTAAAAGTTACGGAAGCACCAGTCTTGTATGCAAGAAATTGTAAGTCAGTAAATCAGTGTGTATGATGTGAAAACAGATATACTGATGAACGTAGACGTCATCAGCCGAGTATCCATCTGTCACTGTATGTTTCGCCCCTTATCTCGGAACAGATGGTGGGGCAGGTAGTGTTGATCAGGTACTACACCGTCTACGATGGCCGCCAGGTTGGTTCATTGCGTCTTAGCCAGAGCCAACTGGACGCTCTTTCTGCAGCTTTGCCAAGAGCATGTGCTGCGGTTTTCCGGGGTCCTCCTTGAATGCCCACTGCTCCCAACATTTTCCAAACTGACTGTGATGGAAAGCCTCTACTGGGAAGATCAATGTCCTCTATCTCTACAAGTGTCTGCCAAGTTTTGGTATTTTCCCTTCTTGATCTCATACGATTCTTCTACTCTCTCTTCCGAAGGGACAGTGAGTTTTACTTTCACCATCAACTTCGGAAACCTTGACCACATAACTATGTCTGGCCGAAGGGATTTGTAAGTCACGGTCTATCTTTCTTTCTCTCTTCCTCCAGGATGTCTGCCATTATCTATTGCGAGCATAAGCACTCGTTATATTGTATCATTTCTTGCGAGCATAGGAAGTAGATGAGTGCACCCACTGTGAATTATTTATTGCATATCAGACTGGTGTTCCCGTTTGTTTTACCTAGGCCGGAAATTTCAGATGTGTCCAGTGTTAAACAAAGACATCATTTTAGCGCATTAAGTATGAACCGCGTTAAAATAGCGTCTTTTCAGCACATTTTAGAATGAAACTATGTGCCTAGGATGACACCATTTTACCGTTATGAATAAAGTTGTAAATTAATACGCTATTGAAAAAATTAAATTATATCAATTTCCATGAAAATAATACTTTATTGAGGTAAACCATTTTAAATGTGGCAGAATATGGCAGAGAGTGCAAGAAAAAATAGTTGACATTTGTTTGCTATTCAGGTTGGAATACCAGTCCCCCTAGTACCCGCCTATAGACGGCAACTCGGCTCAATGGGCGGTTATCCAATCTAAATCTTCAGATATGACATATATATCTATTCCTGGACCAAAATTATTCCAGAAAGATACTGAACAAAAAAATTGATTCCCAAATTATCAGCCAGCTGAACATTGCAAACGAATTTATTTGCATACGAAAACTAACGTTTGAATCTATGACAAGTCAAAAATGGTAATATAATATTTGGTGCGACCGAATATAATAACGACAATTGATTTAAATAAGTTCTTAAGTTCTTCATTTTGCAGGTTCCGCAGAGCAAAAATATGCCAAATTGTGAAAATGAAAATGAAGGCGCAATCGCAACTCCAGGTATATAACTTTCTACTCTGAAGTAGGTGTTTTCATGTATCGATAACCACTAAGAATATACATTAAATCAGATAAAAGTACATGTACATTGTATATGTCTTGTTTGAAAAAGCAATGTATCGATATTATTATGTCATATATCGATAATTAAAGCAAAAGTATATGTCATGTATCAATAATGCGAAAGTGTATGTCATGTATTGATAAAGCGAAATTATATGCCATTTATCAATAAATCGATAATTAAAGCAAAAGTAATTGGCATGTATCAATAAAGCGAAATTATATGCCATGTATCAATAAAGCGAAAGTACATGGCATGTATCAATAAAGCAAAAGTATATGTCATGTTTCGATAAAGGAAAAAAAGTATATGTCATGTTTCGATAAAGAAAAAAAGTGTATGACATGTTTCGATAAAGAAAAAAGTGTATGTCATGTTTCGATAAAGAAAAAAGTGTATGTCATGTATTGATAAAGCGAAATTATATGTCATGTATCAATAAAGCGAAAGTACATGGCATGTATCAATAAAGCGAAATTATATGCCATGTATTGATAAAGCAAAAGTATATGTCATGTTTCGATAAAGAAAAAAAGTGTATGTCATGTTTCGATAAAGAAAAAAGTGTATGTCATGTTTCGATAAAGAAAAAAGTGTATGTCATGTATCGATAAAGGGAAGGTATATGTTGCATCGATAAAGCAAAAGTGTCGTGTATCGATAAAGCGAAATCATATAACCATGAGACTAGGTCAGGTATCATACGAATGTAAAGTGTATGTTGAGATAATTCGAACATAATCTGAATGCTTCGATAATACGAAATTAAAGGTCATATTTCGATGATATTCCCATAAGTATCGATAATACGAAGAGTATCGGACATGGGTTCGAATTTCGACTTTTTCAATGATTTTCTCGTTACTTAATATCATTTATATTACTAGTAAATATGACTTAGAGATTCGAATTTATCGATCGTAAGAATAGTCATTTTCGATCGTACGATTTTCTGTTTGGGACACTAAAATGTCACTTCACTCCCTTGAACAAGGGAATTAAACGTGAAACGAGTTTCCCAATAAAACATGTTAAATATCGTTACTTTGTCCAAAAAGGACACTGTACGATTGAGGACAGGGCTGTGTTACTAGGGTTTCCTATTGAGTGATGTTTGAATTTCCGTAAAACACTTCAGAAACAATGATATAATTCAAAACATATTTAACCTCAAAATATTTGACGATACTTTTACACTAATGTATATATAAAAAGGGAAGTATGAAAGCGTCTGAGCTATTGTTTCAATTTTGTATTTTTCAAAACAAACAAAGATTTTAATTGACTTGCACTATACGAACTAAAATAACAAGACAAAAAGTGACGGAAATGAAAATTAACAAGTTTCTGAAAATAAAATGTCAGATTCAATTATGTGGTCGATAACTTCTGTAAATAATACACAACGTACGATTCTACTTATCAGAGAATCAGAAACAATAAGTTATAACGCCCTTGTACAGAAATGTTCAAAAAATTTCATTTTGACTATACAAATACAATGCAAGGTCTGCAGAGCGGTCATTCTGTAGAGCAGCTTTACAACAACAGCTTCAAATATTCACAATAGATCTAACCTCTCTAGAGCAACAGTTCGCTAGAAATTAAGGTTCATATTCGTTCAATGCTCAGCTTCGAGATTGGTCAATATTTAGCCTCCAGTTTGTTCAATCATCAGCCTCCAGATCCCCAATTCGGTCAATGTTTAGCGACGAGCCCTCGAGATCGAACCATGTTTTGTTTTGAGTTTGTTTGAAATGTTTAGCCTCAAATTTGTTCAATGTTTTGCCTCGCGTTTGTTCAATTTTTAGCCTCAAGTTTATTAAATCGCTTCTTATTCGTACACTGTTTAGCCTCGAGTTCGCTCGGTATCTATCTAACCCTGTGCATTTTCAAAATGGTATATCTATTACAACATATCTTATCTTGATGAAAGTAAGTTTGTATTGTACATGTTGCCACATAATAATCGTTTTGATGATTTACTCAAAATTTTCAGGCTAAATATACATTATTTTACAGAATGTTCCTATCCGGAGGTAGACAACGGAAAGCCGGTTGGAAATATGTTTATCGTTCACAGTATTCAAACTATTCAGTGTAATCAGAGTTATTTCGTTCTTGGTTCAAACAAGATTTATTGCACGAGTAACTTAACATGGAGCTCCATGCCAGAATGCTACAAAGGTGAGAAGTTACTCTATATGTCTTTCAATTAGCAAGGATAATTTCCCATGGCCAATTCTGTCTATGAGCGAATAAAATGAGCTATCCCATGAAAATTATTTAATTTCGTTGACAAAAACTGTACCGAAAATAACAAAAAATATTGATCGCTTAGAGAATTAAGCCTTTTAATACGCAATGACTATGAGAGGCTAAAAGGGTTGAGTCAAATATCATGAAGTAATTTCTATATGTATCAGAATGCGTAAAAGCTATGCTGTTCAATCAAGTGATTGGATTAAAACAAACAAACAAAAAACTTGTTGACAGTTATAACGAATATTTTTTTGGACTGGCGATCACACTTTAGTCATCACCATGTTTACCCTAAAGTTCCGTGTCCCCTAAGTATCGTTATAATGGATAATGGCAACTATATCAGTCGTTACAGCATAAATTATGCATTTGAAATAGTTCCATTCGGCTTACCAAATTTTAATAGTTTATCCAGATAAAGGTTTTTTCTAGAAATGTAATCAACAGGTAAGTGTGCTTCTTGTCTGCTGTTTTGCGCTTGTGTTTACAACAGTTAATACTGATTTTTTATTTCTTCTAAAGAATGTATAGCTCCGGAAGTTGACAACGCCGACGTTGATGCTGACATGGAACAACTTCCTGCACGTGCTACAGTTTCGTGTCATGAAAATTTCATATCAACCACTACTAGCAGCAAGTTATACAATATTACAGAAGAATCCCTTATCTGTGATAAAACTGGGAAATGGGTGCCAGACATGGTCTGTACATCATATCTCAGTGAGTTTTGTTCATTTGGTATTTATATTTGCTGAACTGTTGAATTTAAATATTGTTGTTAAAATAAAAAGAACTTTTTTAAATGTTTGTTTTTCAATTTAAATTTTTTATCCCCTTTGCCCCAAAAACAAAGGGTTTTAAATTAAAGCTTTAGTCTTTTTTTTTGTATAGCCATTGTTTGGGGCCCAAATTTTTAAATTTAATTTTTTTTTAAATTTTGTCTCCTTATACACCAATGGGGCCTTTGGGGAGGGAAAAAAAATATTTCAAAATTTCCCAACTGGGGGAAAAAAAGAAAGTTTACCTCATCTCCCTCGCACCGACTTCGGCAATATTCAATGATTTCAATAATCAACACTAAAAATATTGATATCAGTTCCCGAATGAACAAAAGAAATTTCTAAAAAAAAAGTTTTAACAAAAAACTTAATTTTTAAATAATTTAAATTTGATATAGTGAAAAAATTGTTTAAAAAAGAATCAGATGTCATTTTATCAAAAAAATGTTTTTGTTTAAAAACCCCTTGAAAAATTTATCCCTTTTTAAAATTTTCCCTGTTGCGTTTTTACCCGAGGGCCGACTAACTTTACCCTTTTCCTTCCCACGTTTTTCTCGCCCCTTTTCCCGGTTTTTATGAAAAAGAGGATTTCCCCCCGGTCAGAAATAGCGAAATGACTTTGAAAAGTAAAAAGGGGGTTTTATGGGGGGGAGCTTTCCCAATACGTGGGACATAAATGGCGGGGGGGAAACCCCGGGCTTTTTAACTATAACCCCCTTTTTGGGTCCCATTTTATGTTACCTCTATCCGTTTTCCTTCTGTATATCCCAAAAATCGTGTTATGTACTGACTGGATACTTTAAAGCATAGATAGATGGTCACAAGAAGTTCAATGTCCAAGAACTCTCACTATACCTTCATGTTTTTTAATAATCCTCCTTTGTTAATCAGTCACTTTTCCTGACCGTGATATAGTGCGAGCACTACAAGGGATTGACTTTAAATTTAGAAAGGTGGCAACTAAGAGTGGTGCAGCGCTAAACACAGCATCGTCGTTTAACTACTGTATATATTCCGTATATACCTAGATTATATAGGTAATGTACGGAATATAGACCGTGGGTAACCAAAGTTGTAACAACAGATGCCTATCACGTTTAGCTTCATTTAAAGATTTCACCCCAAAAATGACTTCTTTGTGTCGCCATCTGCGGTCAGGCTTCTTTTGTGTCAAAGCGATTTACGGGGTATCAGCTGATTGATCTAGTCTGTTATGTAAGCGTATGTCTTTATTTCGTAGATATATTTAGCAAGGCATTTAATAGACCAGCACGCCAGAGCTCAACATATAGACATTATCAAGCAACTTTAGCGACCGATGGATTGTGGAATCCAGACTTCAGGAAAGGGTCATGTATGCATACAAATTTTACTGAGGATACTGCGTGGTGGGAGGTAGATATGCTTGAAGTGTATCCCATTCGCCGGTTGATAATTCTCAACAGAGGAAGTGGTAATGTTTCAATTCATTTCTTTCTTTTTTTCAATTTTGTTAATTTCGATATAGATTGTTTATGTTATAATAACTTGTGTATTGGGAGGGAGAAGTTCATGTCATAGAACATTTGTTGTCGAGTTATTAGTTTCTGATCAACAACTAAGCCTTGTTGGCCTAGGAACTTCAAACTTGGTATGGAGATTGGACACGTTGATCTTTTATCAAAACGATTTCAGACTAATAACTCGACAACCAATGGGCCTCCTCCCTCAAACTTCACGGTTATATTGGTCCTGGCAAATAGATAAGGTCAACGTCACCCTGATCTTTTATAAACAGCTTCCGACCAATCATTCGACAACTCATGGGCCGTTGACTCTCAAACCTCACAGGGGCATTGGTCTTGTCAATTGATTTTGGGTTCAATGGGTCAAAGGTCACAATTGGTCAAAGGTCCCATTCACCTAGTTAACACAGGCCTGTTGATGGCCCCTTATTATTTTGGAAGCAGGGGACCAAATGTTTAGGTCAGATTCACCTTGATTTGTATCATATTGCACTAGAATTGACTATGATTGTTAAATTGTTGTAAACCTACTAATTTTTTAAAAAAGATTTTTTTTGAAAAATTTTCCTAATAAAATTACATTATATTTTTTGTGCTTTCATAATGTTTTTTATTTTCCCCATTTTCCCTTTATTTTTCCCTTTCGATTTTTTTAAAGGTAAAAAGGGCGGGCTTTTGGAACAAACAAAAAAGGGGTGTTTTTTTATCCCAATTTTTAAAAAACATTTCCTTTGGGGGTTTAATAAAAAAATTTCTTTTTCCCAGGAATTATTTGGGTAGACCTGCATAATGGGTAAAAATTCAAAAATGGGGGGGGGAAAAAAAAAGACAAATTTTTTTCAAACAAAGGGCTTGGTCCCTTTTCAAACCTTTTGGCCTTTTTAAACCACCGGCAAAAGGTTTTTAAACTTTTTTTAAACATAAATAAGGGGGGGTATGGGCGAATCCCAAAAACCCAAAAATTTATAAATTTTAGGATTTAACCTTTTCTTATTGAATTTTTCGGAAAAAATTTTAAGAAAAACGGGTAATCCTTTTTATATTTAAACAGAAAAGGGTTTTGCCCAAGGGAATGTGGGCGTTTTTTTTCCTTTTAAAAAAATTTTTGAAGGGAAAAAAATTAAAAAAAAATGCCCAAAGCATTTTAAAAATTTGGGCAATTTTTTTCCCGAATTTTAAACCGAAAACCCTTTAAAAAAATAATTCAAATTTTGTTTTTTTTTAAAATTTTCCCAACCCTTTTGTTTTAAAAGCTTTTTGTTAATTAAATTTTTTAAATTTTTTTTATGGAAAAAATTTAATTAGTACTCCCATTGGGGTAATATAATTATTTAAATTTGGGTAATTTTTTAAATATTTTTTGGGAAAAAAATTATTTAAAAGGGGGTATATAAAAAGTGAACCTGTTTTTTTTTGTGGAAATGGGAAGGTTAATTTTTAAAACGAGTTTTCCAAAAATTTAACCTTTTAATCCGATAGAAAATTTTTTTCCCATCGAAAATTTGGTTTTTTTAAATACCAAAGGGGATGGAATTTTTTTGGGGGGAAATTTTTGGGGTTTTTAAACATTTTATAAATTTTTTGGAAGGGGATGAATTTAAAAAATTAAATTTTTTAACTTTTTTCTTTCTTTGGTTTAAGAAAAATTAATTTAAAAACAAAGAAAAAAGTTTTTTAAAAAATTTTTGGCAAAAAGGAATTTTTTCCGGAATGAAAAAAATTTGCCCTAAAAAATTAAAAATTGGAATGAAAAAAAAAAAAGTAAAATTAAAGTTTGAAAATTTTTTTTTTGGTTTTCCAACTTTTTGCTTTTAAAAGGAAAAAAAAGTTTTTAAAGGGGTATGTGGGCTGTGTTTTGTTTTACCAAAAGGGGAAATTGGGTTTGTTTTTAAGGCAACTCGGGGTCACTTTTGGAAGGTGAATATTAAAATTACTTTTTAAATTGCAATTCTATTAAACGATGAATAAAAAAATTCGGGAGGGGGTTATGGGAACAAGGCCAAAAACCCTTTTTGTTTTGAAAAGGGACAAAAAAGGGAAAATTTCGTTTGGGTTTTGGTTTTCCCCTAGAAAAAAAAAAATACACCATTAATAACCAAAAAGCCTTAAAGTTTAAATTTTAAACAGAAAAATTTGTTTTTTTAAATTTTAAAAATATGAAAATTACGACTTTTTTTAAGTAAAAATTTTTTTTGGAAAACTCTTTTTATGAAAAAATTTCCCTTTTTTCCCAATTGTATTTTAATTTTAATATTTTACAAAAATTCCCAATTTTTTAAAAAATTTTGTTAAAAAAGGTTTTTTTTTTAATTCTTCTTTTTTAAGTTAAAAAAATTCCCAAATCAACCTTTTAAAAAATTTTTTCGGGTTTTTAGAAAAAATTTTGAACCAAAAGTTGGTTTTTTTTTTAAATTCCCCTTGAAACCATAAGAATTTTTAAAAAATTTTTTTGGGAAAATGACAACAAAAAATTGTAAGCTAACGGTTTAAAACGAGAAATTCGGTACCCAAATGAAAACAACAAAAAAATGAAATTAATTTAAAAACCGGTCGGTTAAAAATAAAAGGGGAATTTTTTGGAAAAACCTTTATTTTTGAAGGGTAAGGGGACCAAAAAAATTTTAAAAAGGCCGGTTGCCCCTGGTTTTTGTTTGGGGGCCGGAATGAAGGGCTTTTGTGGTTTGGGTTTGTCCCCAGCCAAAATTTGCCCCCGGTTTTAATTGAAAATTGGTTTTTTTTAAGCCAAGGCAACAGGGCAACCAATGGACAAAAAAAAAAGGCAAGGGAAACGCGGTTTGGGTTTTCCGGTTTTGAAACCCCCGCCCCCGGGGGCCCCAAAACCCCCCCCCGGGGGTTTTTTTAATTGTGGGGCCGAAGGACCCAAACAAAATTGGGCAAGGGGCCCTTTTCTTTTTTTCCGTGTTTCCAAAAGGTTTAACTAACAAAAAAAGAAAAATAAAGGCGGACCTTTTTTGAATAATCAAACGGGAATTTTTTGATCTTTTGGGGAAATTTTTTGAAAATTTTTTTGAAGGAAAAATAGGAAATTTTTTAAAACTAAAAGTTGAAAAATTTTTAGTCTTTTTATACCGGCCAATTTAACCAAAATTTTGTATTTTCCAAAAAACTAAAAAAATTTAAAAAAAAAAAATTTTGAATTGGGAAAGAGCCCCATTAATTCAAGGGAATGAAGGAAAATTTCGTTGTTAATTTAAAAGAATTTAAAATTTCTTTTGATTCCCTTATTTTTTGATTTTTTTGGGGAAAATTTTTTTTTTGGGGAAAATTTTTCAAAAATCCCCCCCAAACCCAAATGTTTTTAAAATTTTCCATTACTTTTTTTAATTTCAATCCTAAACAAAAAAATTTTCCCTTAAAAATAAATTTAAGGGCCCAAATTTTAGTTGAATTTTTACTTTAAAAAACCCTTTTTTTTAAATTTAAAATGGTTTTTTTTTTTTTTAACAAAAAAATTTTTTCCAAATTTTGAAAGGGCTGGAAAATTTCTTGTTTTTAATTTGGGTAAAAACCGGGAAAAAATTTTGGTTCCCCCTTTGGAAATTTGTTTTTTTACAAAAATCCGAAAAAAAAAAACTTCCCCTTGGGTTATTTGTTTAAAAAATTTAGGCCCTTTTTAATCAAAAGGGGGAAACCCCCAAAATTTTCCTTTATTCCCTTAAAAAAAGAAGTTAAAAAAAAGGGGGAAGGTTTTTTTTAAGAAAAAATCAAAGAAATTTTTGGGTTGACGACCCAAAAAAAATTTAAAAAAAAATCTAGCCTTTCCACTTTTTATCAAGCCAAAACCCCGTTTCCCCTTGAGCAAAAAAACCCATAAACCAAAACTTTTAAAAAATTTTTTTGTTTTAAAAACCCCGATTAGGGAAATTTACAAAAGCTAACATGTTGAATTTTTCAAGCCCAAGGTGCTTTTGATCTCAAAAAACCCAATTAAAAACCAAAAAAATTTTTTTAAAAAAAAAATTTTTTTCCTCTCCCATTCTTTTTAAATTTGGGCAAAAACAGGGTTTTTAAGAATTCCATTAAGAATAGAGCTTTCAAAAAAGAGAAAAAGAGGGAGTAAAACAAACATACAACAACAACAGCAGCAACAACAACAACAACAAAATGATCAAAATAATGATAGTTTTCAGAATGGATATGGTTTTACGTCGAATCAAAAATTTAAAAAAAAAATTTAATTGTTTTTTGGCTTATTTCCTTTGGGTAAAAACCAAGGGACCAATTTCCTGCCCCGTTTTAAAATATCGCCCTCCCTGTAATTGTCTTTCTTCTTTTTAAAATGGCAGCGTGTAAAAAATGAGGGAAAAATGCCTTTTTTCACAGAAAAAGATGTTTTTTTCCCCAACTGTGTTTAACTGCGATAGATTTTAAAACCCCATTTCCCCCCTCACTGCTTTTGGGTTTTGGGAACCCAAACGGGGGACTTTGGATTTTTCCCAGTGATAAGTTTATCCAGCAAAGGTTTAAACGGAACGTTATTTATTTTTAAAAACAAGGTGCCTTTTTCTGCCTTAAATTATGCAGGGAAGGAACACCGGGGGGGGTTTTCCCCTCCCCCAATAAAGCTGGAACGCCCGCCAAAAATTAATGATTTCCCCGTTTTCCCATAAAGGCGTAAAACCCAATCAAACAAACTTGTAAAACTGCCCATAGCAAGAGTTACCCATGTTAAGGAAAACTTCATACAAATTCTTTCAGATCAATAACTAAGGTTTATTAATTGTTCAGTATTTGATAGATGTGTTTGAACATCTTTCTTTAATTGTAAAAAATAATAATTATTGGGTTGTCCACGAAAATAAAACAATGCAACATGATTAAAATAAATTTTTGCTCGGAGCAGGCCATACAGTAACGTTTAGAAAAGAAAAAAGTACCCCAGCAAATCTTCAAAAAATTATTGGCAACTTTTCATGGAGCGTTCAAATTAAATAATGTATACATTCACTAATTGGGTGATTTTACAAATTAATTTGGTATTGGGTTTAAAGGGGATATATTAAAATTAATGTTTTAGACTGTGGAAAGTTTTCTAATAGTGCGTGTTGGTGTTGACATTCTAATAAGCGAAGTTTCTGTGATCTCCTGTTGGCCTACTTTACAAAACGGTCCTAAAATTATATTTGAAATCATAAAAAACATTAGTCCGCAGATTGCAGTTCTGGAGTTATTTGTATGTGTGCACATTTATCAATTGACAATTAATCTGTAATATTTATCTATAGTTATCTGTAGTTATCTGTAGTTATCTATAGTTAAATGTATTTATCTATAGTTATCTGTATTTATCTATAGTTATCTATAGTTATATGTATTTATCTATAGTTATCTGTAGTTATCTATAGTTATATGTATTTATCTATAGTTATCTGTAGTTATCTGTAGTTATATGTATTTATCTATAGTTATCTGTAGTTATCTATTTAGTTATATGTATTTATCTTATAGTTATGCTGGTAGTTATCTGTAGTTATATGTATTTATCTATAGTTATATCTGTAAGTTATCCTAATAGTTATATGTATTATCTATAGTTATCTGTAGTTATCTTATAGTTTATAAAGTGTGTTTATCTATAGTTTTATCTGTAGTTATCTATAGTTATATGTATTTTATCTATAGTTTATCTGTAGTTATCTCATAGTTATTCTGTAGGTCACTCAATTAATCTGTTAATATTTTATCTATAGTTATCTGTAGGTCATCAATTAATCTGTAATATTTTATCCTATAGTTATCTGTAGGTCATCAATTAAATTCTGTAAATATTTATCTATAGTTATATGTAGGGTCATCAAATTTAATCTGTTAATATTTATCTTTAGTTATCTGTTAGTTATCTAATAGTTATCTTTAGGTCATCAAGAGTTTTACCCATGTTCTTCCTGTCCACGTGTTCTTTGGGCAAAAACAAGAATAGATGTTAAAAAAGGTTTTCTTGGAAAAAAGCAGGGGGATTTTTTAAAATTCAAAAATTTTATAAATTGGGGACACCTTTTTTTTTAAAGTAAAATGTTTTTTTAAACTTCTTTTTTAGAAAAATTAAAATCCAATTTTTTTAAATGTAATTTTGGTTAAACGTTGTTTGTTTAATTCATGATTAATGATTAATGATGATGATGATGATGATTGATAATGATTGATGAACGATCATCATGATGATCAATGTAAAAAGCTGAAGATCTCTAAAAAATTAAATATTCTTCAAAACCATTACAATTTCAAAACGAAGTTATATAAACCATATTACAAAATAACCATGCATTTCATATTGATTATTGTTCGTTTTTATATAATCACGATTCTTTGTTAATATGAAACATTTAAATGTCAACGATAAGCAACTGTTTAGAAGCGATATTCATCATCTAAACATAGAAATATTAATGTTTATTTCAAAACATGTTTTACGTTTTAGTATACAGAAGTTTGAATTTTGCTGTTACTCACTGTAATATATTAATATTATATATTTTTATTACGGGCAAAGTCGTCCATTAAGATGAACTTTTTCGGTTTTTGTTTAAAAAACAATTTATTACAGGGTTTTCCCCTGTAAAAAAATCCCAAAAAATCATGTAAAAAAAATAGCTTTCCCAAATTTCGCTTTTGGGGGTGTCACAAGAAAATGGTGACATAAAGAGGAAACTGGGCCGTGCCCACGAATTTTCTTGGGTTTATACCTTTTAATTTTAAACAAAGGTCATACTTCCAATTTTACACTGAACATAATTATTGAACCCTAACCAAGCTGGATGCGGAAAATTATTGAACTTAAGTCCACCAAACATTAAAAACCAAAGCTGTAAGGCATTTCCCTTTGGGGGTCTGAAACCATCTTTGGAAAAGCCCCAAAATTTTAAAAAATGGGGATGGGGAAATCCATTAAAAACCAAAAAGGCCCATTATCAAAATTTCCGGGTTCACGAAAATTTTGATTTTTAAATTCGAAATTTCCGGGGTTTTGGGGCCCCAAAAATTTTAAAAACACAAAAAAAACAATTTCAACTTTTAAAAAACTTCAAGGGGTTTAAAAATTTAACTTTAAAAAAGGGCACCCAATTTTAAAATTAAAAAATAAAATGTACATGAAATTGAAATTTGTGATTTGATTTTTTTAAAACGGGGAAATTAATGGAAATGAAATCATTAAAAACGTGTTTTTGGGCCCTTTTTAGGCTTTTTTTTTGAAAAAAGGCTTTTATCATAGAAATTTTTTTCATGTAACCAACTTGTGTTCTTCTAAAAACTTTAAAATAAAGTATGGCTCAAAGTCAAAAAATGACCCTGTCCTGAGATTTCTTACTTTAAAAATAGATTATATTAATAAAAAAAGGGAATAGAAAATTGTTTGGTTTTCTGGGAAATAAAAATATTTGGAATAATTGCCATTGGTATAATGCCAAAAGGTCCCAAAAATGTCCCCTTCCCAAATTGAGGTCGACAAGTTTACCCTTAGCCCCTTTTGTAAAAACAGAAACTTTAAAAATGTTCTTTCTCAGAAACAACATGGGTTATTTTAAAAATTAAAATTCTTTCCCCAGTTTAGATTTTTTTGGGGGAACAAATATAAGGGCCCTAAAGACTTTCGGGGGGACTAAAATTTTTTTTTTTTATTCTTTTTTTAAGGGGGCCTACGTTAAAGATGGGGCCGGGACAATAAAATTTAGCGTAACAATAAAACATTGGGTTTATTATTTTTTAAATGTTACCCCCGATTTAGGGAAAGCTAAAGACCATTTAAAGGGTCCGTTTTTAATTTTTTGAAAAAATACTTCAGTTTGTGTTGCAGTTTTAAATATTGAGAAAATAAGTAAACGAAATTTGACATGGATTTGGCATTATATTTTCTTTCAACTTGCTTTATGGCGGATGACATAGATGTATGGTCGAACTGTGTAACGTGTTCTGAAAGCATTGTGAAAGGATAATGTTGAAATGTCAATGGCGTTATACATGTGATCAGTAACGGCATGTAGAAGTATATCGTTACGCCACATTGTACTGTCTATATGACAAATGAAATTATATCTGTTCTGTGCTACACTGCCCTGCAAAATTGAGGACATGACAATTATTTTTGGCTAATAAACAAGTAACAAATGTCATTTTTATCATATATATTTTAATCATTTACATCACAAAGGTGTAATAATACAGTATGGAATTTAGGAACTAAAATACCATTTTGGTTGGACTTCAAGTTTGAAATGTAGCTAAGTTTCTATAAAATATAGTTTTCAGTTAAGGAAAAAATGACAAAATGTGTTTTAAGTAAAGAAATAAAGGTAAGGACAATTGATAATTTGTATCAAAAAGTCATGGGACAGTCATGTATTCAAAAGATTGTTGTTGAAAAACAACGTACCTTGAAAACTATTTTATATAACATGTGCAGATCAAATCTTCTGCCGCAGAGAGGATAATTCTATAGCTTGTAAGTTTAAATTCTTAATTGAATTACCTCCCTTAGATATAAATAATTATAATAAAAAAATGGCGGGGGGAAACAACCAAAATTGTGCTACGAAAGGTTCTAATTCAGCTTACCTTTTAAGGGAAAGGATTGTTGTTTTAATTTTTCAAAATACCCAAAAAAAATATTTATGTTTGAAAATCGGTTTATTTTCATTTTATTTGAGTGAGTTTCAGTGGATTCAGTATAATTTCATTTTATTTCGATAAAATGGAAAAAATAATTAAAACAACATTCATATCATCAGAATGGAATTCAACAATATCTTTAATTATTCACGTAAACGGGACACAACGTTACTGACTATTGCACAAAAAATATAGAAAATATCAAAAGAAAAACGCCAGTATACCATTATTTCTCTCAAAAAAACAACAAACAAACACATGACCGTTTGTAAATAATGATGAAAAAACAACAAATATGAAATGATGTTTAAACAATGTAAACTTTTCAAACATACAAAAATGATTTTCCCCCTTGTTACGTAAAATATCGAAGGCAATCAACAGAGAGTAAAATCCTACCTATTTTCCTAAAACTTATTATAGTATGTCCGGCTTTTTTTTTTAAAAAATTTTATTACTAACATAAGCAAATTAAACAAACGAGCGCGCGAGCAAGAGTGAGGGCGATCAGAGAAAGAGCGGGTAAAAAATTCCATACAAAACTGGTAAATAAAACTCGGGACATTAACGTTTTTTATCCGGAGAAATAAGGGAAACAAAAAAAAAAGTTTAGGCAACATAGATTGGAAAAAAGGGTCAAAAATAGGTTTAAAGAAATGCCGCAGAAAAAAAAAAAACTTTAAAGTTTGCGCATGGAGCGGCGCACAAATCCCTGTTTTTTTTGTCCAATTTCATAAAAAAAACACCTTTTCAACCCATAGCACCCAAAGGAATCAAGTGACTTTATAGCAAAAAATAAAACTTTTAAACAATCAATTTAAATAGAAAAAATAAAACAGCTTAAAAGATCTATAACAAGAATAATTTTTTGAATCTTCCCTAGAATAGGATCTAAAAAAGACATTAATTGCAAAATCGAAAGGCAATTCACAGCGCCCGATTGATGAATATAATAAAAGGACTATAATTTATTATAGACTGGATCTCCGGGTTCAAATACTACGTAATTAATCGGGCTCGCCAAAAACCATGGACAATTAACAATAATGCTTTTGGGCGAATAAAATGTTATAACAAACATATTAATATAACATGCAAATGGCTTCATTTCTCTTTGGTGACACCATCTCGTTGGTTAAGAGAGATTAAACTTACTTTCATCCTCTGCACTTAACGCAAATAACATTTTCCAAAGCAGAGTAACATATGGAAATTTTGCCATGTTTCTTCAAGAAATCATGACCGTCCAAATATTTTTTAAACGTCAAAATGAGCATGTAATCAAAGTTCAGAAGTGGGCCTAAAGCCTGTTCACTTAAACAGTAATCAATTATCAACTAACACTTTAAAAAATGTATAAATAAGTGGTATCCGATGTAAAATTTCTATCATGCTTATTTTCAATATGGCCGCCACACATTACCATTGTCGCCATTGTTTCGTCCACGTGGTGGAGAGTGACCAGGGGCGTCGTGGAGTGGTGATTGATTCGTCTGCATTTCTGTATGTTGGTTCCTATCATCTTCACGAGGCTGTAATGGCGCACTCTCAAGCGCAAGTCTCGATGTTGGCGACAGGAGAGGTCTGTCCATTCTCATTTGTTTAATACCATTGACCGGGAGGGCGGCACCATCAATGTCATTTGGGCGGCTGAGACTTATGTGACCGGGTCGGGTCTAACTACTTCCTAGAAAATTTCAATAGGGTATTCGGCATTGCCGGTTTCCCGGTAAGTAAATGACTGTTTCTTGGGAATTTTTGGGGGCAAACGAACCACCGAGCCGTAAAAATGAGGATAAAAGGGAATCCCGATGATAATTTTGGTGGGACAAACCGTGTAATCGTAAAATGAAAAGACCGAAGAGAGAAGACGCGTGTTCATTGGGGCTGGATATATCAGATGAACAACAATCGGAAGGTGTATGCGTTTGAACCAGGCGTTAGATAATGTTGAAAGGTCGACCTTTCTTCCACTAAAAATTTGCAAGAAATTTGAACCCTTGTACTAGGGAATGGCGAACAGATAATATAGAACTGGGTTTAGATGAGTGGTTCTGGAAAATAAGGGTTTTGGAATTCTTTTTCCCGGGTACCCCGGGGTTTTCCTGCCGTTGTTGAAATGAAAAACCGGGGGCGGTAAACATGAAAAAACAGACTAAAACTACCCGGATACCCCAGGTTCGAAAAAGCCGATAACCAAGACGATGTGTTTTGGCAGTAAGAAGCCCGACGGGTTTAAGGGGAAAGTGACGTCCTTTTTTGGAGTCAAAGGGGGGACCTTTTCAATTTTGATTTCTTAAATGAGGCTTGTAAGGCGAGCTTCAGAAAATCCATTTCCCGGGGGCGAAAAATCTTTGACCCTGTAAAAAGAACAATTTTACATTTTTATGAAATGACTCTCACATATATTCAGAAAAAAAATTAAAAAATTTAAAAAAAAATTAATTAAAATTTTTTTTAAAAAGAACAATAAAAATTTATTAGGGTTTAGTAGAATTTTGTACATATACAAAATATAATAATTTACGAAAAAAGAACAGGCACCTTGTCATTAAAAACCCCAAAAAGTGGAAACAAAAAGATTTTCTGGGGTTTTGAAAAAAGAAAGAACAAAGAACAAACAAATTTTATTTTTTAGAATTTTTTGACCCGTTTTGGCAGTACGAGTTAAAATTACCAAGAAAAATTTGGTATAGGGTAATTAAAAAAACCCCGTGGGGTTTGTGGGCAAAAGGATTGGGGATAAGGGTTTTTTTGATGGAAACATTTGGGTTTCTTTTTGTGTATGGAGTTTTGGAGTGAACTCGAAAAACTCCCCACGGACTTCCTTCTGTTATCTGGAAAATATAGAGAATTTTATTTAATATACATCAAACAATCTTTTTTGTAGCATATGTAATTGTATAAACATCATTATATTTTAAAGGGACTCAACTGAGTTATTTTTTGTCATGATGTGACAATAAATAATACGTCAATATTAATGTTCGATAGGTCTAGATCAATAACTAGTACTGTGCAAAATTTCTGAACATTCGCCCACTTCAACAATAATAGCACATAAAATACGTTTTTCAATTTATTTCTGGGTATATTTCTTAATTATCTTTTGCATATCTTTCTGTATCGAGTGTCCAAGCTGATCGATGTAAAAAATTCCAATGTTTTGGACCATAGTGAAGTCTTTAAGTCTTATTTTCTTTGAGTGTTAACTGGCATGGTCACAGTTAAAAGTCACGTTGTTATGTGAAAAGTGAATTCTTGTATATGCTTTTTATTTTTCGCGTTATCACTTTGATTGTTATTTCATTTACCTGTTGCATGAAATCCATTTGTATCTGCCGACGGAACGAGAATGCGTCTGTTGTCTGTAGCTTGCGTACTTCGTCGGAGATGCTCGAGTTCTACCGACGGTGGAAATCGTCGGCTATCACATAGAGGATCGGTGTGGGGTCTCTCCATGGGCATGTCAAGAGGCCCTCGGTGGATAATTCTGCGGTCATCTGTGCGCAATTCTAAAAAGGTAAAAAAAATACACTTTTGGTAAGTTGCTTTACACTGTTGCCAATTAAACATGACTGGTTTGTTAAAATAATGTAAATTGTGACATACGTGTGTGTGAGATTTTGCTATTTCGCGTTAAAGAAAAAAAATCAAACGATATTTAAAGTTCTCAATAGATACCACTCGACATACATCATTTAAAAAAAAATCTTCATAGAAAATTTATCTTTTTGACCTCATTTCAAGAAAGCCTACGCTTTCAAATTAAACCTCTTAAAAATGTCGATATAAAGATCTTTCTTAGGAAATTATTGTTTCAAAAATGCATTAAATAACCGCCTCTGTATCGTTGTATTCTTTCATTTATATTCTTCCTTTAAAAAGTGAGCAGACGACATGGAGGACAATAATACATTTTTCTCAGAAATAGAATCATCGATACTTTTCCAGGTTAATCCTGTTTCTATTATAATGTTGTCACGTGACAGACGCCCACGTGACGCTTACACAATTCAACATTGAAGTGTGTGGGATCGGATAAAATCTTGTTTTAGGTAACCTTTAAGATCTTGCTATATTAATATATTTTCACCATATATTACTTAATATTCTTAGGTAATTTGAGGCCAATCCTTAAGAAATTAGTCTTCACATCTTAGTCGCCGTTTTCTAAAGACGTTTTCACAGCCCGTGGGTTTAATGCCGCTTATTTCAGCCCGAAAAAATTTCTATTCTTGCGGAGAGAAAAATGCACATTGCGGCCATTAAACTGCATCAGTGTTAATTTTTAACACAAACTTGCAGAAAGGTTCAGTGTGTTTTTATTTTCTTTGCGAAGATTTTATGGGATTATTATAAGCAATGCAGAGTCAATTATTCACTTGTGAATTTTACTGCCTCTTTCGTCGGGTAATTATCACAGAAAATCTAAAGATTTCCCTTGCCTTAGGACAAATTCTGCTTACATTTGAAAAGCGCAGTTACAAAACGATTTCAACGAAAACAAAATTCTAAAGCTATGCATAACAGGGAAGTCAAGTAACTTATGATTAAGTGCATTTGTATTTGCAATTCCCCTCCCACCAATTTATTAACAACCATCATTGCTACCCCCGTATATCGCCCATTAAATAAGCCCTCAGTCACCGTTTGGCCTAGACATTTCTTATACAAGTATAAATGTTACTTTTTACTTTTTTTGTCTTCTATTATACTTTAGAACCTGTTTCTATAAATAGTTCTCCGCTTGAGTGACAAAGGGCGAATCGGAAAAATAAAGATATATATACGAGTGCGAACTTACTAGTTTTACTTCTGGCCTCACGGGGCCCGTCCACTGTCACTTTGATGGCCTTTGTGTAGGTGGTGATCTGAGGTGGGTGAGTGGCCACAATAATTGTCAGGGTGAAACTTTTTCCTGAAAAAAGAAGAGGAATCGAATTGTAAACATAGATATCACTATTTCTGTCCTTCAGACATTAAATTAGCTATTGATACCAAGTATGGTATTATATTGTGCACATTGGATTTTGATAATTAATTTAGTTGCAGTATGTCCGTTTACATATGATATTTGTCCGTTTACATATGACATTTGTCCGTTTACATATAACATTAGATGATGATATGATCTTATCTATCATATATAACATTAGATATACAGGATACAAAACAACTTGTCGGCTCATATTCGTGTTTGTATCTTTACTTGTTTAAGATAATATTTACATGTATCGATACTTTGTCATGATTTGTTTTTGGATATTTTGTTTAATATATTTGCATGTTTAAGATAATTTTTCAAGTATTGATACTTTGTTTAAGAAAATTTATTTTCATTTATAATTTGCAGGGATGAAATACGTTTAGTTCTGTTTGTTTGTTGTTGTTTTTTTCCTCATTTCTTTTATCTGTTTTCCACAAGAATGTGCGCGCTCATACAATCAAAATCGTGCATTCATTATCGCCAAAGGTACAGATAAATTCTTTTTGTATCAGAGTAAGAATGGATAACTCATCGTTAACCCTATTATCCTACACTGATTCATAACTAGCATCAACCGACAAAAATCACACCTTGACCGTGTCGAAATTCCTAAAGAAAAACAAGGGTATGGCCGTGTCAAGGCCATGTTATTTGTAACACAACGCCTACGCAAATGTTTATTCGCACTATTTCATTCATAATCTTGAACGTTTGCTCCCCGCTACCGAGTAAGATATGCCAAAAATAAGTCACGTCGGGTACCATTATAATCTATTACTGGTACCTTATCTGTTAAGCGCCACTATGTTATGATATTAAGACTTTGAGAACCAGATAAGCTTCATTCATAAAGTACACACATCAGCGCATTGGTATGCGGGTTATATATACATGAACTGACTGTAGTATAACCTTTGAACCTGGGATTGTTAATAGCGTTTGAAATTGACAAATAACTTAGATATCTAGAATATTTGTAGACGACAAATTTGATTTACTATCGCCAACCGTTTCGTTTTAAAGCGTAAACCAGTTAATTCATAATTTAAATGACAATTTATTTGCGTCGCTTAAATGATTTTAAAAAATCGCCAGAAGATGGCGGAAACACCGCACTGCAATTTAAAATGTTAAAATCAAATAGGCATAGGATAAATGAACGTGAAAATAATAATGTATATCAATTATGAAATGTATAACAAGCTTTAAAATTTGTATTAACTGTAAGCACAGAGAGGGAAAGTTGTGGTTTTTTCAAACCAACAGCTGTTCCGTACTTTGATTAATGTCTATGTACTTAATGCCTTGTACAAGTGTAGATCTACGTTTAGCACCAAAGTCTCGCTCGGCAGGAATAGAAAACACGAAAGAAACCTTGCTGAGTTCCTGAATAATTTAAGCGAATTTGGTTTCAAATTGTTTATACAAATTGACAGAAACGAGTTTCAGCTTCGTGGTCGTATGTTTTGTTATAACACGTGCGGGTCCATTGAAAAATTGGGGTCGTAAACTTTTTCAAATTAACGAGCTTTTAAAACAGTTTAATAGGCTAAAGATTACAGAAAGGAAAAATCAAGCACTCCGAGGGTACATTAATCGGTGTGATTGGGTAATCGGTTTTCTAATCAGAAAAGAGCAAAACTTTAGTAATTCGTTCATAACGCCTTTAACTTCGAAATCTCATTAAGCCATCGATTAAAGATTTGGTTCAAACAATCGTACATATTTTTTCTCTTTAGATTCGATATTATTACACAAATTCTTCGACTCTATCGCCATCTTAAAGCACCACGAAGTCCCAAAGAATAAAAAAATCATTTTTGTCCACCTTAGCGTTATTCGACATTGAATCATTAGGATTCAAGCTTGGAAAAAAAATCGATCTTTAAATGAGTTATTCATTTAATTCATTATATTTCGAGACAGAAAAAAAATCATGATATATGCCAAGAGAAAAGAACTGACTTAAAACAAAATGACAGACTATCAAATTAGGGCAATTTAAACGGATAATTTAGGAGAAATGATTTCCCTCTTGTTAACAAGAAAGACGGGCTTGGTCCTGTTGTATAAGAAATCAGATTAGAAATTGCTGAGTCGGTTATTTTAAAGATATGACCACGTGCTATTTGAGGTCAATTAAATGTTTAAATAATATGACTCTTTAGTCAAAATCTTTAAAAAAAATGCAGTAAACGTGTACTTTCAAAATAATTGTGTCCTACGGTTTAAAGAATTTTACAATAAACATGTTGTGTCGGCTTCTATTAGGTTTGAGAATAAATCTAATGCTTTAGTTAAACATTATTTGTAAAGAAAACTTATTTAAACCAGTCTCGAGCCCGATCCCTGGAACTAACAAGTACTAGCGTCATATTAGGAAACATGGTCGGAACCCCAGTAAGACTCAGACTAGTGACCCCACAATTCCTGGGTTGAGAGGCACAAGCCTTTACCACTAGGCCACAACCTATTCATCATTGCGTCGATACTTATTTATATTTCATAACGTTTTCTTGTTCCTAAACACGCATGAAATTGTGTGATTATATACCAGTATTATGTAATAAAGTTGTTAGATGCATGAAACACAATAAAGTAATTATTATTGCGCATGTATAACACAAATCCGTCATTCTATTTATATTTACACGCCCATTAACGCATGTTTCCGCGAATTCTTGCATTTCCCGGATTTATTATCGTGAGAAAATACATGACAAGTATTTTAATTACCGTAAAGTGTCTCAATTACCTACGTCCGCATACGTAAATGACAGCTACGTTAAAGCAGCAAATAAACCAGAAGAAATTTTCTACGTAAAAAACGTCAGAATTAAGTGAAGCGTGTAAAAGAAGTGCGTTGCGGTCGTTAACGCGCGCGGAGACAATTTCACGTGACACGCGGCAAATCTTCTGGTGACACATAATCATGATTTTATTACTAGTTTCGTTGAACCCGACTTTTGACAAAAATTGACCAATCGTGAACTCTAAATATGTGACTAATTACTAAACAGTCATGTTAATTTGACACTTGCTAGTAAACAAGGCATCAGTATATACATTAAAAACAATTTTTATGAATTTCCATAAAGGCCAAAGCAATGTATAATTTGTTTTCTAGATAATATGATGAGCAAATTACGGCCCTGTCGATTAAAAAAATAAATTAATATGCAACACTGGTTATTTATTTATTTATTTATTTATTTACATATTTTTTTCTTTTTTAGTATTTAATCATTTGTTATAACGGCAGTTGAATGCACAGTGTGGTTTATTTTGTAAAGCAATTCGAAGAATGTTTTCTTTCCGTTTAAATAATCAAACATTCATCTTTTTGTTGTATGCTACTGTGAAATTTAACACACGGAAACGTTTTTGTCTAAAACCTTCCTACAGATGAAAACACGGAAATTGTGATTCTATAAAATTTCCTCATTATTTCGTTATTATTGCTATACTGAATGACAGAGAAAATGATACAAGTAAATACTAAGAAGACAGATGATAAGTGATGATGTTGATGATAAATCATGATCGATTATGATAATAGAAGATAAAAGAAGGGAGGTGAATAAAAATAAAGACTATCAATATTCCGATAACTTCCTCGATAATGATGATTACGGTGGTGGTAGTGATTATGGTGATGATGATGATGTGATGATGATGTCGTTAATGATGATGATGACGACGACGATGGTGATGATTATGATGATGATGAGGCTGATCATGATAACGACGATGATGATGATGATGACACTAGAAGTGATGTCAATGAAGATGATGATGATGTATTTTAATTTACTTGTATAAGATTGCAGAATGACAATGGTTATCGTAATAACGTTGATTTAAATTTAGACAAGTGATGGCAGATGGACATCATTGTACAGAAAATATCAAACACCACATTATAATATGTTCATTGTTGTGTATCGCTCTTTGTTACACCATTATTATTCTATTGCTAGTGTATTACTTCATATATATAACCTGCTAATAAAGTAAAGAATGCGTCTATATAGAATACCTTAAATTCTTGACATATCTAAAAAGTTGACAATACCTTTTGTGAACAATAAGATCAATAAGTTAATCATGTTTGGCGAATTCTTGAACTTTAATACATAATTATATAACTTCACTATAGTACGGACGTATTAAAATTTAGGTAGGCCAAATATTTGCAATAGCATGGTATGAACTAGTCAATAAATGTGATATAAACCTGTATTAGTCATTTCCTATATCAAAACTTGGCCTGAAACTGCCGGACAAAGAAAATATCTAACAAGACAAACTTTTCATACAAAGGCACAGGTTTAAAGAAACAATTTTGCCCGTTTTGACATGGGTGCACTTCCGAAACTAAAAGCTCCTTAAGTTTATATACTTTTCTGTTCTATTCCTAGCAGAAAGAAAAGAAGATTTTATAAAAAAAAATATTTTTTACGATCGAAAATTACCTATTTTTCACATACATGTATTCTGCATTTTCGAAGTGTTCTTTTACTTTGGCAACAATAAACTGTCTTGATGACTTTTTTCTTTAGACTTTAAAGAAAGGATTGTTCGGCAGTTATTTGTGCATATCTGACCCCGTACTAAGTTTTTACCCATTGTAATGTTTATACCGTAAAGCTAATCATGTTTTAGTTTCAGTTTTACCATTAAACAGGAGCGACTTCAGTTATATGTATGAAGTACTGTTTGTCTGTTTATCAAACAAAGGAAACAAGCCGAATTAGTCAAGGAGATAAATGATAATTGGTCAATATGGACAAATATTACGACATGCCGTAAAACAACTGGCACCAATTTATGTAATGAAACAACTTTATATTGGGTGTAACATCAACACTTTAGACGGGCAAATTTCGACTCATTTACATGCCTGTGGTCAGTGATTGACCATTGTAATC